TGGTACCTCATGTCTGTTTCCAGTAGGTAGTTGCAACAATCCAAATAATCAAATTATTGAGACAAACTTTTTATGAAGTAATCATAACAAAAAACGGGCTTGTCAATTCGCCACCTAACTAATATAGTAATTTTGTTTCCGTTAGACTATTCGTATCGGTGTACGTCAAGTCAATTGGCAATAATTGTAAATTAATATTTAGCGAGCTAATACTGGGCACGCTGAAAAACTGGTATTAAATTGGACCGCCAGAATAGTCTTCATAATATGCAATCGCAGTTGCCATACAAATAAATTTTAATTTGTCATTTTACTGTCTTGCGTCACTGTCCGCCCAATAATGTTACGTATACGACATGGACAAATACAACGTAATAATATCCGAAGTCCGTAATCTCACGTATACCTCAAAATAAATTAACCAAAATTCTAAGAATACTTCAGCGTTTTACAAAAATAAATGTGGCACTTGGTTTCTTGCGATTAGTGCTTTAAAGATTAGATCTTTGGCTCATGAATATTTATGAACGAACGCAAGAAGGGGAAATACAAATATACTCGGACATGTTGTTCACGTGAAATAAATTAGCTGCTTATCTTCATACTTAGTACATATGTATGTATGTATATAATAGTATGCACAAATGAAAAAAAAACAGTCAATTTGACATTTATTCAATAGCAAACTTTATGTATGAAACATTTCTTTATTTCGATTTTAATAGAATTAGTGCAAAATTTTGCATTCACCAATTTTGATAGAACAGATTGGCATTGGATAACAAACCGTCGTGTATGAAAATTTGATTGACATATTCGGGTTTTTTCGCATGCACGAGTATGTAAGTATGTATAATAACGCTTTTAAGTAAGATGATTGGCTGGATTTATGAGCGCTTTACGGTTACTCATTAAGTTGAAACAAGAAAAACCGTTAACTTCGGCGGCACCGAGGCTATAATACCCTTTACAAATACATAGAAGCTTATAAGAACTTGAAACTAATTTCGTGAGAACCTCATCAAGGCAATAACGCATGCCAAATTTCGTGAAGATATTACGTCGAATAAAAAAGTTTTCCATACAAGTACTTGTTTCCGATTGTTCAGTTTGTATGGCAGCTATATGCTATAGTGGTCCGATGTGGGCCGTTCCGACAAATGAGCAGCTTCTTAGTGAGGAAATGACAGGTTCAAAATTTCAGATCGATAGCTTAAAAGCTGAGGGACTAGTTCGCATATATACAGACGGACGGACGGACAGACGGACAAACAGACGGACATGGTTAAATCAATTCAGTAGATCGTGCTAATCATTTATGTATATAAGTATTTCATAGGGTCTCTGACGTCTCCTTCTTTGTGTTACAAACTTCGTGGCAAACTTAATAGGTATACCCTGTTCAGGCTATAAAAATACGGTGAAGTTATGGAATGTAAAATAAATTCTATTCCTGTGGATGTTAGCAATGCTAATTGAATGTAGTGAAAAATATTGACTTTGACTTCTGACTTTGGTAAATCAAAAAGTATATTCTGCAAATAACTGTTCTGAGAACCTTAAGTACTGTTTACTCAATTACTCCAATGTGCAAGCTAAGGTATACTTACAAAATGAAGTTGTCTTTGTGCAAACAAATAAACAAAGAGATAAAATATTAATTTTTATTCACTATCATTACCATTAGTTATCTATAACTATTTTGTAGCATTTGGTAATTATATTATTATTTTAATTTCTGCTAAATACTGGCTCTAAATACATATATAATGTATGTTTTTTTAAATTGATTTTAATTATTTTTCTATATTTTTAATGTGAGTGAGTTTTAATATGCTTGTTCATAATCTTATCGAAATCTTAATATGCTATCTTTTATTTCGGGTCGAAAAAAATAAAATTTTTTTTATTAAACTAAAATACAATTCAAGTGGCCATCTTAAGGGTTTCGTAAAATGTAGCTAAGTTTTCTGCGTTTTTTTATATTTCAAGGCATATCTTCGAGGCTAAAGTGATAAAAAATGTATTTCTTGTCGTATCCAAGCACCTAACCAAGAGTTGCATGACACCATAATTATAGTTGCTGTCATTAAGATCAAAAAAATATATTAGTTGTATATATAATTTTAGCTAGATTATCCAAAATTAAATAGAAAATAATAAGAACCTTTATAAATGAGGTATGAACCTATCAAATTAATTAGGTTATCCTTTTCGGGGGACAGTCAATGACACCTATTTTACGTCAGCTATACAGTGGGTCCGATATGGGGGGTGCAAACAAATGAACAGCTTCTTCTAGAAAAAAGAACATGTGCAAAATTTCAGATTTCTCCAAAACTAAAGGACTAGTTTGCGTATATAGAGACAGACGGCCGGACAGACATACATGGTTAAAACGACTAAACTCACAATGCTGATCATTTATATATGTATACAGTATATTTTATAGTATGTATAGTACATACTGAATACATAAAATATGTATAAATAAAATGAGTTTCAAAGATCAATAGACTGTTGAAGTAGAATCTGTTGCACAAATTGCTCGTAAAGCCAACAGAAATGAAAAATAATGCTTTTTCTTCAAAACAAAAATCAAAATATGTGTATCCTTTCGAGGATTCCCTAAATCTTTCTTCCCTAGTATTTCCACCGGTTCCAGTTAATAAACCGGGCATTTAGTAATGTCCTATTTATTCATTCTTTCAAATTATTTCTTTCATGAAGTATCAAGTTACTAACAGTTACTCGGCAAGCCATTATAGTAAAGTAAACAAAGCAAGTCAATAAAAGGCAAGTGAAAATAAATAATCAAATATTTAATCGAAATATAAACCCATTGACGACACGCGCCATCATGAAAATCGAAAACAGGAAAAACTGACCTAGACACCAGCAATGTTTCGTATATTAACTGTAAACAGCGTATATATCATATATGGTATGTAACAGTGAAGTATAAAGGCGGCAAAAAGTGACCACGCGACATAGTAATCGCTCAACGGAAACCGGATCACATCACATATTCACACGCGCCTTACTGCCATCCACAGACACACACATGAACACCGATTTCAAGCTTGACTACTAGTTCAACTGCACTTTTTATTTAACTATCGGCCGGCTCACGTTGATACGCTTCGCTGGCGCTTCAATGAGCGGCAATATAAGTCGAATGATCCGTATAAATGCTGATTGTACATTGTGCTGATTATTATTATTGGTGGTGTTGTTGTAGGATTTTTTCACGGTCGCCTTGAGTGTAAGAAAATTTGCACTAAAATGTCAAAATCACTTAATTTATGATATGGCTACCGCATAGCTGTGCGCTGACGGATCGGCACTTGATCAAGCCAGTAAGTAATCCAGTAGTTTACTAGGCTTACTGTATGGACTTTTTACGCGCTGGCGCATCGTTTTCTTATGTGGTGGTGGGTTGGAGGACGGCGATTGTTTGCAGAAAGTTGATTCGCGTTTTGGAAAGTGAAACTCGCTGATGATATTTACATTTTGACTGTTATTTTCATTGGTTACGGATTCCGGTTTATCATTTGTATTTCCACTCCTTTGCTCCATATAGGTTTTATACGCACATGCTAAACAACGAGGTACACTAAAAATATTGTTTTCTCTAAAAGTTATGTCAAAATTTGTATATACAGCGTGCCATTTTACTTCCAGACCGTATAAAATAGTAATATTGATTGTGAAAGTATGCAAACACTGTTACAATCTCGAAAGTTGCTTGACAACTTGACAAGTTTTCGAGTTCCTTCTATAATCCCTCAAAAGTCGATATGAAATTTTCTGTGTGTTCTTAAATATATGTACATTAAGCAAATAAAATATAAAAATAACGATTTTTTGAAAATTCTAACTGTATGTAACCCCAATAAGTCGTTAAAGGTGTGACGTGTTTATTCACCTTACTGTAACCACGATCATTTATTAAGACCAAAATCTGTAGTGTTGGATCCGAAAAAACGATTAAATTTAGATTGTGCCACGACGAAAACACCTCTTTAGCCATCAGTTGGGCTTTAGAAGTATAAAAATAAAAAACAGTTTCCATACAAGAACTTGATTTTGATCTTGTTTTGATTTTGTTTTTGACCAATAATCCGTGTCAAATTTCGTGAAGGTATCTTGTGTAGTACAAGGACATTATTGTCCATACAAGGACATTATTTTAATCGTTCAGCTTGTATGGTATGATCGATATTTCAAAAAGTGAAGGACTAGTTCCTGTATATACAAATGGACAGAAAGACGAATAGGAAAACGGACATGGCTAAACCCACTCAACTCGTCATGCCGATCATTTATATAAATATTTTATAGGACATACCCGAAAAAATGCGCTTTACGTGAATTTTTTTTTGCATACCGTTGAACCTGGAGCTGATCTCCACGAGGACCTCCTCAAAAAGGTGTCTGGCGGTGAAGAAGATATTTTCGCTTAAAATTATCATTAATTCAAAAATTTTGCAAAGTTTATTATAATGGATGATTACAGGTAATGATGGAAGGGCTAGTCAATATTTTGATTTTTGACAATATGACAGCCTCCACAAAAGAAGGCTTTTGTGAAAAAAAATTACACTTCAGAATGATTTAAAAATTGAAATTATTACTGAAAATCTTATTCATTCGATTATTACCTAGAAAATATCTGAGAAGATCTAGTGAAATTTTCAAGTCGATCGGTCTAGCCTTTTCTGAGAATATTTCTTCACCGACTTCAAAAACAGAGTTTGGAGAAAAATTCGTTTACAGTTGTCGGGGCCAATCACATTTAGTTAAAAAATTCGTAGAAATACGCTTATATCTCCGAAATTATTTACCAAATAAAGTTCAGATTTTTTAAGATTATTCTGAAAACACCAAAATAGATTTTTTGACATTCACTAGTGGATATATGTAACTCCATAATTTTTTTATAATTGTTCCCTATTTTTATATAATTTTAAATGAATATTTGAATTTTTTATTTACAGACGTGCAATCAACGACTTGCCCTTTCTGCCTGCCAGCTTACCATCCTTGCCATTAGTTTATCCACTCTCTTGCCCAACGCCTGGGGTGTACATCAGCAACAGAATTTCCCTACAGATTATCTAGTGCCACCACCATTACCCACGCCGCAACATCTGAAACATCAAAATGCGCCCACTCATCAAGCTGCCGAAACAGTGGCGGCGCCTAGTCACACATCCTCCATTAATACAGCTGAACCGCCCGGCTTTATGTCACGGATAGCACGCTGGTTTGGCCTCGGAGCGGCGGAACAAAATCAACTCGCCAACGGTTTTTCGTCGGATGAAAAGCAAGCATACAATTATCAAGCACCGTTAGGACCAGATGGTAAACCTTGTAACCTCTGCAACAAATATCCTTGGGTACCAATGTTCCCGCAAGGTTTACAATATCCGACGAATAATCAGCATATCTCAACGGCGCCGCAACAGCAATCGCACCAACACTACGAAGCGCAGGAATCCCAAAAATATACACAACAACACCCATTGCCATTTGGCAACACTGAGAAGCAACAGTTGCCTGTAAGACAGCGCGCTGTGCAATTCAATTTCCCCACAGCATATCAACCACTCCCTGGCAACTATAAAGCATCACCTGTAGTGGGCAAAGCTCCTGTAGCACCACCATTTCTACCAATACCCATACCGAATCTAAGCTTGAACGCTTTGCCACCCATATATAATGCACAACCTTTCCGGGTACCATATTTGACGCCTGCAGCTTCCACAACAACCACCACTCAATCTACGGTCGGTAGTGCACAGCAATTGCCTACTACGAAACCAGCACATTTCGCGGAAAATATTGGAGCACATTCGGAGTTGCAACTGGATAGTGTGCGTCCAGAGCAGACGTATTCAAAGCCAACACGAGATCATGACCCCAGTTTTGAGATTGTTAAGAGTCATCAAATCACAGATTTCGTCTCATCAGTGGAGTATCCAGTCAGCTTCGAGCAATCGCCTTCTATAGATTTGGGGCAACAGCAAGTTCCCGTTAATCCACCAGCGGTCAAGGAGACGGTTGCGACGGTGCCATATCAACATCAAACATTCAGTCCAAATCTACACAAACACTTGCCTGCCTCACAAATACTCACCGAATTGGGTAGCTTTGCGGGGAAACCGCAAACCCAACAGCCACAACAAGCCCAGTCATATCTTGATACACAGTCGCAGGGATTAACACCTCCCCAGCCACAAACACAACAACCGCAACAGTCTCAAATCTATCAACAAACGGATACTTCTTACCAGACGGCGCCGCAACAGCAACAGCTGCAATATTCTCCAGCTACCACATCGCAGTCGCAAACCGGGTATACCCAATTTCAACAAAACTACCAGCCATCCACAACTTTCTACACAACGCCATATCAACAGCAAACGCAATATTTGCAGCAAAATTATGAGCCACAGAAAGCTCCCTATGAGCCACAAGGTGAAGACAACTTTCCATCCGCTTCATCCCACAATCTCACCGAGGTGCAACATCAGCAACAAAACCTAGACTACAGACCTTGGTTGCCGCTGACGCAAACCTTTCCTTACACAACAACTGAGCCACCACGCGAGTTCGAATTGTCAACCCAACTGTCGCAGCTTGGTGAGGTGGACTACATAACGGAACGCGGGCAGGGGAATACACAAGTGCAATTTTTACCTTCCTTACAAACACAACAACCACCGCGACAAGAACAAATAAAACACGATCAACGAGAAACACCAAAACGCTTTTTGGATTCTCCCATACAACATGCGCCCGGCTTTCTTAACCGACCACACCCCTTTACACGTGATCCCAGCGAACTGAATTTGCGCAGACCGCCTACGCCATTTGTACCCCCACAACATTATTCAAATCACAAGCAAAATGCCGTCGATGTGCCCTTCGCCACAGCACCATGGCTAGTGACGCCATTGCCACCCTTGCCCACATTTACTGGTGCACCTGCGGCGCCCACACCAACCTCCACCTATAGTGCCATAGATGCGAGCGGTCAATATGCTGGCATGTCACCACCAACACCGCCACCACCGGCACGCCACAAAGACATTCATCAAATAATCATTCCTTATACAACGAAAAATAAGCCACGCCCCTTCGAGCCCACACGTCCACAGCCTACAATTAATCAAATCGCTCAACAGAATACTGCTTTCCAGAAATGGTCTGCCCAACAGAATAGCGTGGATATACACGAACAACAGGAGTCTAAATTGGTGACCGCACAATTGGCTACGGAGACACCCCTACCTGCACTACCGCGTCGCACTACCAAATATGTCACTAAAATACTTGCCTCAAATTTACGCGATCTACTGCGTCGCGAACATGAAATCAGACAGCAGAAAACGAATTCTTCGAGCTTTGATCTCTCCAAGCTGCAGAAGAATATCGACGACTGGACGGAGCAAGAGTACACCTCACTGTCACATCGTCCGAGTACGCCAACAATACGTGGTCGTTCCAAGCACATACCAACTGAATATCTTACCACAACAACTCCAGCATCACGCCAACCTAAGACGACAATTAGTCTATTTGAACCACCTTCAGAGTTACCAGCTTCCGTTAATGATTTGCAATCGCTGCTGTTGGAGCGCGATACGAAGCGTTTCGAATTGAATCAAATAGACGATGATGTGGATAACCATTTATTGGACACTCTAGAAAGCGAAACAGTGACTATCTCATCAACAACGAGTCAAACAACCACGCAGCAACCGCCGAATAGTAATGGACATGCGGCACCAAATTTCATGCATCTCAATTCCGATTCCGGTCAGTCCGAGCCGGCAGAACTTTGGCGCAAAGCCAAGGTTTCAATTTCGCCGCAAACACACGAAAAGGTATATGTGGTCACACCGCAGCCGCGATTCTTCCCTCAACGTGCGCTGACTACAACCAGTACGAGCACTGAAGTGCCGCTCAGCTTTAGAAAGTCGCCACGTTTTTTAGTGAGACCAACACCTGGTAATGGTAAGTATTTTTTTGGAGTTCATGCTGATTAATTTTAATTTTCTTGCAAAAGTTTCGTGAAATTTAATCGGTGGACACCAACTCGCTTTATGGTGAAGGCTGCGATCTCATCAAGTTTACCAGTAAATTGAGATATTTAGTGACTTACAGCTAAGAGCCTAGCTGTCTTGTGATTTTTTGGTCCAAAATTGGTGTCTTTCTAACCTTTAGTTAAACACGCCATATATATTGAAGTGAAATATATTTTTTTCTTGACTTCAGGACAATATATGTTGTTCAGAAGAATCCTTCACTTTTCGGTCCATTCATTATCGGACAAATAGAGTCGCACAGAACCAGCGAGCAGTTGATTGTTAAATTTGAACAGGGACTGAGGGACTGACTTCGACTGAGTGCCTGAAATATAAACCATCCATTAGATAGACGCCACCCAAATTTCCTTCTGCTGCTTTGGAATTTGTACTAAGAATATTATTGTTTTTTCAGGCACACACCCAACTGCTCCAGCATCCAGTCTATATAGCCCCGAGCTCTTCGGTCTGATGGGCCTCTCGGCATATGTGCCTGCCAAGCCAGTGGAGATTATCCATGGCAATTCAAAAGTAAATCGTGTGACAATCAAATAGATTAAATTTGAAAATCGTAAAGCGATACTCAACTCACTCGTATTTTTTCTTCTTCTTCCTCACTTTATTGCGAAACATAACGAAAACTCACACACAACAATTCACATCATATTATTCTATTATGCTCATCATCAACACTCTTTACATATGCACACACACAAATACATATAAACAAATAGGTCTTCAATATCATAACGGCACCACCAAAAACTCAAGAGGATGATTCAAACAAACAGTACTCGAACAAAGATCAGTTGTCGCAAGTGAAGAAAGGCCGACGACTGAGATCGACAATGTCGCCATCTCCAAGATAAAGTGGCTGCCTCTGATGCCGTGGAACTTGTTGTTGTATTGACGAAGAAGACATCGGGCGGATGCAGTTTAATATATGCAGTTATCAATTACCCGATCTATCGTCTGTTCTACTTACTTTTGTATTATAAATTTCAAACGTTTTTTTTTTGTTTTTGTATACGCGATCATTATTGCTACGCAACTTTAACTCTAATTCTTTAGTTCTAGGTTATGCTGTAAATTGTAGCGGAAGAAGATCTAGAGTTAAATGTCATGAAAATATTTTTAGGAGGTATCTGCGCGTGGAAATAGTTTTAAGATTATTTTAATTGTAATTCCATGGATAATATTATATATACATAATATTATCGACGTCGCGAGAAATAACATCTTTTATGCTCTATTTTTCTACTACCGCGCATACCAATAAAATCTTCAAAACTCTTCACGCGGTCCTAGTGGATTTGAACTTTATTAATAGCTTTAAAAAAATTATATAATATTATATATATTATATATAGAATGGTATTTCATAGCAAAATAATATCTAGCAGCTAATGTATAAAGAAATTTAAATAAATATGTAATTACGATAATTTGTTTACTTTTTCGACCATTTTTTACTTTTCTCTCACTTCCATACGCAGTGCAGCTAGAAAAAAGCATTTCTTCCAGGCATCGTGAAGTGCACAGTAGGTAGCGGCGGATTTTTTTTTGCTGAATATCTCGCTAACCGCTGGTGGAATATATTTGTTGACCCTGCGTCGTCGCTCGGGCAACAATCCTGCATCAAAAAATTCGAGCTGCCTATAAAAGGATGCATAGAAGAATTAAGATTTTTGGAAATTTAACGGATTTGCTGTTGGAATGCCACCACAAGCAATGAACAATAGGGCATCGCTACGCATTGTATGTGCGCTGCAGGTCCCAAAAGGTCTATAATGACGGCGAGGTGCGTTGTGATGCCGAAGTTGGCGAGAAATGTGATTCACAAATGTGTCCCTAGTATGTCACCGAATTTCAAGGATGTCGCTATTGTTGCTCGATGGTGATATTTCGGCAGCACACGCTTTTTCGCCACCTGCCACGATGATTGCCAACGTCTCACGAAAAAAGCTACCAAAATGTACGGTCACACCAAAGGGTAAACAACTGTTGGGCGACGAATGTCCACTGCACATTATACATCCACCAGTGGAAAATCCAATAATAAATTTAAACTAAAAATCTGAAAGTCTTAAGTATATATTTAAATATATTTATTCGTATGTTGGGATACTCAAAAATAATAAAGTGCAACATTTGCATAATGACCTAAACTTTCAAATATACCTATTAAGTATAATATATACAAACATCTATACATATGTATAATTAGCTATATATAATAGACACTAAATAAATAAATGTAATAAATATTTACAAAAAAAATATCTAAGAAATTTTTGATAAAAATTAATATTTTGTTTTTGTAGTTTTTAAAAAATTTCGCTTTAATTAATTACACTTTTTCAATGGAAATTGCGTACAGTTGAAAAAATCTGCGAAAAAGAAATTCGCTCGCACCTGCACGGCGTCGTCGCTGGCATTTTTCCCAAAAGTTAAATTGTTCAAATTGCATCAGGCGCCCAGATCAAATCAGCAGGTGTTTGCTGCATTTTGCACACACCCACATAAGGCGACATGCACTGCAAGCATGCATCGAAGGTAGCATACTTTCAGGCAAACGGATGTTGTACAACTGTTATGCCGGCCGAAAGAAAGCAGCGTTTTATCTGCAGCCTAGAAGTATGCACCAGTGAAGGTACTTTCGCTTACCGGATGCTGTGCTGGTAAGACAGTTCACATTTTTCCGGCAGATACCTCCTGCTTTTCTGAGCATTCTGGTCGCCTAGTACCAGAGAATGTAAATGAATAGAGAAGGAGCAAATGAAATCTTTTTGAGTACTAATTTGTAATTCCAGATGAGGGAACATAGAAAAATATAACTTCGAAAAAGAAAAATACACCACGCAATGTGTGAAATGCTATAAATCGACACAACGAATATTCCTAAATGCAAAATCCTTGCGCATACCTATTTAGAGTTATGTTTTCAATTTCTATGATATGACAAATTTATAATTATGAAAAGCCTTCTGAATTAAAAATCTGTATTACCGGTAAAAACCCTAGAATTCATAATAAAATAAACAGTTAATAGGCAATGTTTCTAACTTATGTATGTGCGTTATACCGCGTTTCCACTTTTGAGGTGGCTGCGGTCGTAAGCGGGAAGGGGTTAAGCATAATCCGAATACGAGCCTATACGTTCGAATCCTAAAATTGAAATTTTATTAAATTTTTTTATTTTATTAATTGGAGTCTAAGCATTTCATAAATCAATATTGTTTATAGCATATTTTACTCCCTGATATAATTAAAATATATCAGGAAAATATGTTCATATGTTTAGGTTTATTGAATATTCCCTTATTATGCGTATTGTCACAAATGTGATAATCACACATCCATACATTCTTAAATACACGTACGCTGTTGCTTTTTATAGCGTCGTATTTAGATCAAATGGGCTAAATCGACAAACTATGAAATAATGATAATAAGTATAATGATAATAAGTATAATAAAAGTACTATATGCAGTGTGCTTAGAATATATAGAAGTAGTTAATGATTTCACATGAATGGCAATTTTATATAAATTTTATAATTTAATGCCATAAATAGTGCATAATATGAAAAAAATTAAAATAATATTTCAAATCGCTAATAGGTCATGTTGCCAATTCTCCTTTCTGAAGGGAACATCAGACAAATTCTTCAATTTCTGATTTTTAGCAAATGTGAAAAGTGAGGAAGCAGCTTGTGGGCAACATACAAATGCGAGGGGGATGGTAGGATTTTCAGTGATACAAATTGTAAAATTTAAATTTTTCTGATTCTTCAATTTTACTGAAGACATTATTTAATTCAATTTCATTCATTCATTTTATAAACTTAATTTCGCATTTGCGTAGGAATTTTATATGCAAACCAAATGTGGTTTACCAGGCGCACAGAAAAAATAGCGCGGCGCAGAGTTATGAACGAACTCACTTTGCTTTGAAGCAGACGCACATTCCTTAGGAATGAATTTGTTGTCGTTGTAATATGAAATACTTAGAAAATAAGCCGCGAGTTCGTTTTTTTGTCACTTGCGCGAATGTTTGATTTTTTGCGAAAGACATATTGAGGGACATACATATGTACAGCGCTCAGTGCCGTCTTCAGGAGTAAAAAAAGAGGAGAGAACCAAGAGCCTAACAATGTGGCAGCAACAGTGGCAAACCTCATCTAAAGGACGATGGACCCACAGACTAATTCCGGACATTCATTCGTGGATAGACAGACGACATGGGGACCTAAATTTCCACCTAACCCAAATACTGAGTGGGCATGGATGCTTTAGAAAGTATCTATTCCAATTTCATCATGATGTTAGTCCGTTTTGTCCGACGTATTTTTTCAGTGCCCCCGTTTTTTGAATATTAGGGAAAAGTTAAAATCTACACTCGGTAGTCTAAGGGTTGGAAACCTTGTCAGCACATATGTGTCAGTCCTCTGATAAATGGAAAGCTGTCAGCGAAGCGTCAGCTTTAATTATGACAAAACTGAGATACTTACAACGGGTTAGGAGTCAGTCAGTCCGTACGGCAGAGGAGACTTAAATGTCCTTTTCTCTCCCATGAAGTAATACTTAATCCGGTGGTTCCGTTGGAGAGATATGAGATGGAAGTAGGTTAGGTTTAGCGGAATAAAGTTCCGCACTTCGGCTTTCGATGCTTCCCCCTACTATACAAAAAAAAAAAAAAAAACATATGTACATATGTGTACATATATGTAAATATTAGAATATTTATATTTTCTTGTTGGAAGTCAATTACTTTCGTTTTTATTATTTCAATTTTTGTTTATGCGCATATCAAAAATCATCTCTGCATATATATGTGTATACATTTTGCTTATAGAGTGGGGTAGTTCGTTGCGTACCCTGATAGGTGTGGTGAAATTTTATTTTCGAACTTGCGCGTTTTCGTAGTTCCCTCATCGTAATTTATTTTATTTTGAATTCTGGGGTTTTTACCGGTAATACAGATTTTTAATTCAGAAGGTAACCGGTAGTACAGATTAAAAAAAAAAAATTAATATTAAAAATTTAAAAAAGAAACTAAATTTTAATAAAAAAACAATATTTTAAAACAACAATTAAATAAGTATTAAAATATTCAAAATAAAATTAAAAAAAATTATTTAAAGCAAGTAAAAAAAAGTATTAGAATGTTGAAAAAAAAGAATGGGAACTTAAAAAACTAAAAAAAATACAAATTTTGTTTTTTGTTTTTCTATTTAATTGAAACCAATAAAAAATACTAGTAATTAAAACAGATGTTTCCCTTTTTTGTACTTTTAAAATAAGTAAATTCACATTTATTGATTTATTAACTATTTCTTACATTCTGTGAATTGTTGTAATATAACTTTGTTATACAAATATATACACATTTGAATTCAATTAGAATAGATTAAAGAAGATATTATTCTAAAATCCAAAAATTGCGAAATTTTAATATCTCGGCAACGGTTGGCGGAATATTTTTTTTTTTACAATTTTTTGCCCAACATTTTGCATCAACGTTTTGACTTGGCAAAAACAGGCGCCTCAGAAAATTAATGTTTTGCTGGGAATTTAATCAGATTTGCAAAGGTTTTGATCGAATATTTTTGACAATTTCATAGCCTGTGTCGTGGCTTGAGCAACACTACCGATGGCGCTGAAAAATTAAGTTTTGTAGGCAATTAGACGTTTTCTATCTTAAATGTAGTACTTATTACTTAGTTATGCTTATATGAAGATTAGTGGGTACATATTTACATACTCATATACCTATGTGAATTGTAATATTAAATTTTGTAGGAAATATTATGAAAATCGTTAGACTTATACAATAAAGTACAGCTTAAGTATATACATATATATATATATATATATATTATATAGTATATTTCCCACACATTTTCAATTTATGTCCATATACATGTACAAACATGATTTCTGATAACAGGTAAGTGTATTGGAAAAGTATTTGGTTTGCGTCTGTGATGCGGGAGCGGCATCTAGCGTCGACTCAAGCAAAATTACATTACGTTAACGGCGTATAGTCATGTGGCGCAAGTTCGTTTGCGATCCCGACAACGACGACGATAACGGCGCACCAACGCCTCAAGCGTCCATGAGATGGCAGCGATAAATGACATCATGTTGAGGAAATGCAGGGTGATCGAATAGTTGAAACGATCGCGTATAAGGCCTGAAACAACAAAAAAGCACTAAACAGATTAGGGATTTTGCAATAATTTTAAAATATAACGGTAGATATAATATATATCTTCATTATATATTTTGTTTTATATACAAAATGCATTAGATGGAGCGACACTTACCCACAAAGGGTCCACAGGCAAACGTAAATAGGCCGGAAATGAGCAATTGCAAACCGGAAGCAGCTGGTAAACGTTTCAATGGCACACAACTGGGTATGATGAGAGGCCAGAAAATAGTGCGCACACCTTTGCACATTCCAATCCAAACGAACGTGCAAAGTATGACCGTATAGGAGCGAGTACACGCGACGACAGTGCGACCGAGTGCAATGCCAACGACGCCTGTGATATAAAAAATACATATTAGAAAGTGACTGTGTAATTTTGGTCTTCATTACTTTTTTAATCTGGACAAATACAGTGTATAACTTTTTTTTTAGCCTTGAACAAGGTACAATAAGTTATCCAAGGAGTTTGTAACACCCAGACGGAAACGTTGGGGACCATACAAAATGTATGTATATATATAAATGTTTAGCGCGTCTAGTTGAGTCCATTTAACCATTTCTGTTTGTCTGTCCGTCTGTATATTAGCGTACTAGTCCCTCAGATTTTGAGATATCGTTCTGAAATTTTGCACACGTCCTTCTCTTCGAGAAGCTACTCGTTTTGCCTATACCGGACGACTACAGGATATAGCTGCCATACAAATCCTCATCGATCAAAATAATTCCTTATCGGGAAAACTTTTTTATTAGAAAAGAAATACATATGTATATACTAACCGATCAAAATAAAGATAAATATCAGTTCATACCCTTTTAAGCTATAAGAAATTCACCTTTGAAGGGTATTAGCTTCGGTGAAGTCGAAGAATTCTTTAACAATTTACGTAAAAACTATACATCTAAATCTACTTTAACCTAACTAGTTAGAATGCAAGGAATGAAATAAGTAGGAGCAAGGACCCCCAGAAACTAGTAAACTGCAGGTACATCAGTAGTTTAACAATATACTGACAGTGGATACACTCAAATTAGAGTTTACAATACGATCCCGATAATGTTTTTGAGAGCTTCGGAGAAAGCCCTTCAAAACGATTTCTGATTTCAAAGTAAATGGATAAAGATCAGTCCGCAAAATATCAAGACATAAATAAGAAGGAAATACTAATAATAAAACGTAGTTTAAACCCACCTTAGACCTTACCTATTAGGAAGAAGACACGATTATCCCACGGTATTTTCTCCGTGACGAATGGTACGATGAATCGCACAATAATATCTAAACCACCCAGCACTGACATAGCCGAAGTAATTTGCGACGTGGTAAATCCGAAATCATTTAGTATGAATGGCGTTAGTATAGAAAAATTCAATTCACCGAAATTGATAATCGTTAAACCCAACACCAGATTAACGAACGTGAAATCACGCAATAAATCGAGATCAAAGAAAGTCACCACTTTCTGTAAGAAGGTAAAACTCTTCACAGACATTGTGGCATCTTCGTCTTCCTCCGCCGTTGTTTCCAGCCTTTTGATGGTAAGACTTGAACGAAGCTGCGCCTTTTCGAGCAGCATACGCTCCTCGGCACAAGTACAACATAATGGAGCCGTCGTACCATGTAAGCCACCAAAATGTGGCGGCGCACGAAAGTTGCCATTGCTAGCCGATTGCTTGAGCAGCACTTCGTCGCGTTCACGTTTGAAGTTGTTCGGTTTGTAAACCTCGGCCGTCTTCAGTTCTTCCTCAGATATCACACGATTAAGTCGAGTTATACCCTCGATATCTTTCGAACTGGAGACGGTACGAAAGCGTGGTGTACCCGTTCTATGCATTGAGGTCAACGACAACTTCGAACCGAACCAACCGTCATTGGCGCGTGACAACATCGGCGTGCCCGGCTCGATTATTTCATACCCAGGCATAGCTTCGTCATCGTCCTGATACAAGTATTGGCTGGAGAAGATACCGTTACGTTTACATTGTATTTGACAATATTCGCAGAGATACTCCGCTTCGCCTGCCGCGATGCCCGAATCTCCAGCCGCTTCGGGCACATCGGGTTGCGGTGCATGATAGCGCACCGGTTGATAAATAAGTGCACAAACCATTGAATGCAATGAGAGGGCGGCGAATATGATTACGGTGCCTTGTACGCCATAATACGCGACAAATAGTGTGACTACGTGCGGCAAGAAAATCGGCCCGAGACCAGTGAGTGTCCACGAAAAGCCAGCTGCACGACGTCTTTTGTTCTTGAAGTAAGTGTTTATGGCAAGTGATGAGGCGGACACACTAATGCCGACACCAAAGCCTGGTGTGCAAAGCGAAATAAATAGATGTGTATGTCTTTAAAATAATAGGGGAGTCAAAAGTATAATACTTACCAAATAGCAGCGCATAGGTTATCATATACCCGATAAAGGAATCACAAAAGGCTGTTAATATTAGACCCGTGAAGATGAAAACTGAACCTGCTAGTGCAACCTGTCGAAAGGTAAAGCGTCGAAACATTGGTCCATTTAAGAGTCCTGAAAGGGAGAAAAATTACAAAGCAAAGTATTCAAGATTTTGTATATGCAAACTATATAAATAATAAGAAAATCGATAGTAGATAATTGATAGTCTAATAATTTGCATACTATAATTTAAATTTGAGTTGGAAGTATAATAAAGTTAAAATAACCGGTGGTCTGGGTCCTTTTGACCAATTTTATGGCAAATTTTGCGGAAGGATCTTGGTTTGCGTGCTCACAAAATCCGACTAGTGTAAGAGTTGATGTCGAGCGATCATCGAACGCGTCGCACACATAAAAATTTTGTTTAGTGATGAAGCTCACTTCTGATTGAATGGATATGTTATGTTAATAAAAAAAATTGTCGCATTGAAATGGTGATAATCCACAAGGCATTGTTGAGATGTCGTTATGTCATCAAAAAGTCACAGCTTGGTGTGCTCTATGAGCAGAGGAAATCAATGGTCCATATTTCTTCAAAATTGTAACCGACGATAATCTTAGAGTCAACGGAGAATGTTATAGAGCCATAATTAATGAATTTTTCGTGCTTAAATTAGAGAATGTTGATGTAGACGACCTTTGGTTTCAATAAGCGCAGTAATCAATTTATTGAAGGTATCTTTTGGTTAGAGCTATATCTCGCGTCGTGGGCCTGTGGCGTGGCCTCCAAGATCGTGCGATTTAATACCGTTGGAATATTTTTTGTAGGATTATGTGAATTCGCTGATCTACTCAGATAAGCCCGAGACGATTGACACCTTTGAAGAGAATATTCGGCACGTTATTGCTGACATACGGCCCCAATTGTTGCAAAAAGTGGTTAAAATTAGGCCTCTCGGCTGAAACTTATTCGAACCAACAACGGCGGTCCCTTGCCCGAAAGAATATTTTACACATAATGGCAAACCCTTATCTTTATAGGAGAGCTAAATTCTTTGCCATAACATTAAACTATATGCGCGTTTGTTCTTCTACACATGCCTAGCTTTACACTCATACAATAGCCTGATCCGTTGTCTGGTTGAAATGGCGAGCATGAGAAGATGCCTGACAAGCGTATTTAAACCAGCTATTAGGCTCTAAGTGCACTACATATAGTAGTTCGTTTCTATAATATTTCTAAAAAATTCCTGATATTTCTGAAGATTGTGTGCTTATCTTAGTCTACAAATTGTTTCACATGAGATTTGACAACTTTTTCCCATCATTCATTTATAAAATTAGATCGAAATGTCTGACACTCTAAAAATATAAAAGGAACGTAGTGGACGCACTATGGTAAATTCTCATGAATCGGGTTTCGAATTGCTTACACATACATCGTTATTTTTTGGATGTGTCCCCCAGTGCATTTTTCCTGTTCTAAGAACTCAACATAAAGGTTACTGAAAATAAATCGCCAAAATTTCATTATACTTTGAAGCGCTCTAAAAAGTACCTATTTCGAAAATTGGGAGATTGGTAAAATCAGATAAAGCAATACTCTTTATAATCAAATAATAATAGCTGGTTGTTAAAAGGGATTACAAAGCCTAAAGGATCTTCTGTGAAACGCCTCAATTGATCTTTTATATAGCCGCAGTAACTGCTAATACTTCATGTAATAGATATGACTTGATATTTCCACATACCTGTACATGCCGACACAGCTGGATTCGTATTAATAATTGTTGTGATTTGCGAACTGGTTAGACCTAAAACACCCAAACGTTCGCGGAATATAAAACCGAACTGCTGTAGACATGGATAGATCGACAGCTAAAAAAGAATAAGAAAACAAAAAATAATTTTACAATAAATTCGAACAAATACTGACAAATAATGCATCATTTATGGCACAACTCACGTTCGAGCAACCGGCAGCGATGCACACCAACCAAGCCCAGCCGCCATCTGGTGCTTTGAAATTCTCACCCAAATCACTTTTGTCGCGACGCACTTTCTTTGGCTTCGCCTGTGACTGTGACGTTGCTGATGCCGGCTTTTTACTATTATCTAAGCCTTCGTTGTTGTTGGGGGTGGGTAATGTTGTCGCGCGATAGACCTGACCGCTGTTGTCGCATGCCGTTGCTTTTTCCATCACTCATTGATGTTTATAGACCGAAAACTAAAATTAGAAAAAAAAAAGAAAATAATTAGTTGTATGTTACTATTTCCACGGAATGAAGTGATTTAAGGCTGGCCAGCCATTAAGGAAATTGATAAATGAGCTTCGTGTATGAAGCCATGTTCCAGAGAGTTTTTGAAAAGGGTGGTAAGAAACATATTATCAATTTCAACGTAAGTTACAATATAACTTGCAATATTTGGAGTCGTAGTCGTGTCAAGAATTATATGGTGTAAATCAAACTATATAACTTCGGATTTTTATTACTCATTATTACTGCGATTTGGTAATCAATTCAACGGCTGAAACTCTGGGAAATAAAGTTTAGTCGTAGACAATTTATTACAAAGTTGTATTAATTAATACTGTGCAATAAATCTCGAAAAGTTGGAAGTGATGAACGTGACTGCAACCATTTAAGCTTGCCAAATGTATAGCCGTATGAGAGACAGAGAGCCTCTGTTATAACAATCAATACAATAAAGTTCTGAATATAATATTATTCAAATAGCCTCCACGACTTCTTTTGCAGGAACAAATTCTATGAACCCATTTTTCGAGTACTTTTTTCACTTAATAAGATAAATAGGTCATGAATAGCACGTTCAATATTGGCAACATATATACTTGTACATTTGGTATGTAAACATTTATTAAAATTACCAGTTCAGCGTCCAAGTGCATAAAGATTTACTTCTGATTCATTGTGTATTGATAGACCAATAGATTGACCTTTGCAAAGACAAAAATGTTTGAAATAAGATTTTTTGCCATCAGCCAATGATTAAAAAAAATCGCTTTAAGTCAGAATTCTCAATACACCGGTACTTTCATACATACATATCTGAAATTGCTGATATAGAAAGCGCTCATACATTAATCACAGTATTATAATAATTGCTTAAGTAAATATTGTACATATGAGAGCATACAAAATATTTGTAAGCAATAAAATTGATACCTAAACACATTTGCATATACATTTAAAGTAAAAGTCATTCAAGATAACTGATTAAGCGTCCTAGTGTGACCTAGTGTCAGTATTTTTGGGATTTAAAAAAAAACAACTACATCATCAATTGTTTTAAAATATTTTATATTTATGATATAGAATATACAAAAAAATGTCTGAATAAAATAAATTGAATATTCTTCCAATGCTACAAATTCTCACTAGAAGATATTTACCTTATAACGACCTACAGCTGAAAAAAAGCAAAAATTTACAAGATGGTGGCATTTGTAAAAAAGTCCGATTTCATCCAAAATTCGAACGTCGATCAGATAAAAAAAAACCTGGTAGGTCATTATAAGGAAAATTATACACAGAACATGCAAAAAAAATTTCATCAGATAATTTGTTTATTTGAAAAAATTCGCTTAAAAAACTGATGGAGGTAATTGAACTGAGCGGCTACAATTTAGAAGGCTGTAATAATATGAAAAATTGTTTTGACCCTTAACTATAATTGATTTCCAGCATTTATAATTGAGTATCTGCAAAATAAACCTCTCCACAAAAAGAGATTTTTGGAATATACAAACTTACTAACCATAATTTTCTGGCAACATTTTTTATTTGTGTAGGGTAGTATAGCTTCGGTGCTACCAAATTTTTTCAAATAAGATGACCAAGCAGGCCAAATCTGTAGATCTGACAACTTTGATAAGTTCATTTGTTCCGTGCAAACGTAGAATGGTTTTGTCAAAAGAGCCATGATATTCGAGGATATACACGTTAAGTTAATAACTACAACTGAACACTCGGTTTCTAAATTGATATAACCAAATGAACCGGTTAATACATTATAATGTTTTTCAATCTTTCTTTACCTAAATGTGAAAATAATAGAAAAAGCATGCACTAACTTTAACAAACTTTTTTCCAACAGGGTGCATACATTTTACTTTTGGACTTGGGAACTTTCGTATTTCGCATGATGTTGAAATGTATAGTTCTCATAGTTATGCAGTTAGGCCTTATCAGTAATATAAAGTAAACATATTACATAAGTACAAACATAATTTGTAATCAGTTTCGATGACCAAATCTCGATTCATGTTTCTATTTTATAATAATTCACGTAAACAGAGTCGGCTTCGCTTTTTGACTTAAAAATAATAAGTTAATAAAAAATTAAAATTTTATGATGCTTATTAGAATTCGATAACTTTGTTATATATCTAATAAATCGAGATAATATAGATGAATATTAAAAAAAATCGGTTTGAAAAGATGGATTACTTAATTACTAAGATTTTAATAATGGTTCAAGAACTTAATTATTTTATTTGGATGAGGAACTGAAATGGTTGAGGATAACAGCTGCGTCTACAAAAAGGAAACCGAAAAGAAAATCTACTTTTTATTCAATCAAGGCCAATATTTCAACAAAAATTTTGGGGAACTATATTCTGAGGTGTCAAAGAAGCATAACACTTCGAGTGAAGTAAATTTAACAGCGTCGTGATTTCGCCAGAACTAAATACGCAGCTGAATAGTTAGCAGTAGCTTTCTCTAAAATTTTAAAATTATTGTAACCCTTATGGCAGTTCGACTTAATTTTTTAAGGGCCAATAAAAAATGTTTAATATAAACAAGAAAAAACGTTGACTTCGGTTGCGCCGATCAGATCCATAGCTTAAAACCTGAGGGATTAGTTCGCATATATACAGACAGACAGACGGACATGACTGAATCGACTCAGCTCATCATGTTGATCATTTATACAAGTATACTTATATATTTTATAGTGTCTCCGACGTTTCCTTCTGGGTTTTACGAACTTCGTGGCTAACTTCATATACCCTGTTCAGGGTATAATAATATTATCAAAAATAGCTGTAATACGAGAGCATGACGTGGTTTTCGTTTAGAATTTGTGTTTATGCACAATAATCGTTTAGTAATAAAATAAATGAGTAGCAATAAATTGAAATATATTGGAAAGCGTTGGAACAAAACTGTTGCGCAATAACCAGGAATTGTTACTTTCTGCTGTTAATTAGTATAAATGCATCCATATGTGACACTACATTCATGTGTATCAATATGGACCGATAAGCAAGCATGTATTTATTGTATATGGTGCAAATGACCCTGCTGGAAATTAAATGTATAAATCGGTTTGTACATTTTATGACATTTATTGTTTAAGCAGAATTGGGATAATTCACGGGAGCTATATATCATAAATCTGCTGAAAGAACATTTAATTGTATCAAGAATTGAGCATCAGTTTTTTCAACTCTTCTTTTCTTGCCAATAACACGCCAAATGTTGGTTTACAACTAATAAGTCATGGGTAGTTTAGACCTTCACGTACTTACAAACACAGAATTTTAAAGAAATCAAAACACATGGTCAGGTTTTGGTATGGTTCGATCATCAAAACTTCGTCTCAGTAAGCTGATCTCATACTGGATGAATATTGTCCACAAGAGACTGTTTCAATGACCGATTATGCATACCGATATTGGTGCGTAGTGCTTTATAAGTTCCTAGTATAGAACGTGAAGTTAAAAAAACAAGTTTTCACAATTTTTAAATATTATACCAGCCTTTAGTCGGCTTTTTGCTATACCGAACCTAAGTGTCAAATCCATGAGCTTATTACTTTGACAGCTGTTTGCACAGTTATGCTAATAGAATATTTTATACATCTAAATAAACACCGTCTGCGTGAATTTCAATGAAGATCATTTCACAACGGGTATGTTTTCCAAGTACATTTAATTGAATGTTCAAAGCCACACGTACGAAGAGATAAATGTTTTAATTTAATGGAAATATTAAGTGACGGCCAACAGTTGTGTTTTGCTGCATATTTTATGACGGTTGGAAAAATTTCCGCAAATTTGATTTGCCGTTATATTGGCACATGTTTTGTTTGGCTAGGTAAATATATTACTTAAAAAATAATAATAATTTTAAACAACATATGTACATAATAATAAGATGGGTACAAATGTAGACATGGGCACGCGCTGCTTTAATTAAATTTGTTTTCATTCAATGAATTAATGTTTCTTGCTGCTATACTAAACAGGTACTTCAGTTTCTTGAAAGTAAAACCAAATTATATTCTTCGAATATCCAAGAGTCTTTTATTCCTAAACCGAAAGACCTTGCGGGATGTTTATAACCCCTTAAATTTCAAAATATCGATTGCATATACTTACGTCCATAATATTCTCCGAAAATTTGAAATTGAAATTTAACTTAATGTAATTGCCTCTTAAAACTGTAATCGCGTTTTTCTTCAAACACTGTTTTCAGAGACGGTGAGAAAAATATTTTCAAAACATCTGGACCAATCGATTTTCTCACGACTTTCTTAGATATAGTTGTCAGGTTTATCGAAGGAATAACCTTTTAATATTCCCGCAACATGTTGCTACAGAGAGTAATAGTTTTGTTCACCTTACAGTTATTTGAATCAATTAAAAGTTATCGAGATTGATATAAGGTTATATATATATAAATGATCAGGATGACGACACGAGTTGAAATTCGGGAGACTGTCTGTCCGTCCGGTCCATGTGTGAGATTTATAAATTAATTTCGCAGAAAACCCTTTCCTGATAATGGTATGTCTCTATGTCAAAAACGTGTTGAATCGGGTCAATACTTCCCTTAGCCCCATATACGTACTATGAAGATTTTCGAGCTTCCGGGTGACTTTATATCGCATATATCGGGCCATATATGAATTATCGCAATGTACAAGCTTGTATGTACTTGTATATTATATTTAGCATCTTCGGTCGAGTTAATATCACATACATAAATATATCTCATTTGAAGATGTTTCAAATATAATTTTTGTTGACGCGAATTAAAATATAGCAATAAAGTTAAGTCTAAGTTAATGGACTTCAATATATGTATGTCAAGAAGATATCAAATTTGATTGTAATTTATTCACATTATATAATATTTCTTCGAATAATGAATGTTGAATTCTCTCGCAACATTTTTTAATATAAAGTTTTGCCAGTCCCTGAAGGAAATTCACGGGATTTCATTCTTGCAGGTTGCAAGAGTATAAACTAACCGGTTACATTTGAACTTAGCCCTTTCTTACCTGTTGAGCATAAAATTTAAATTTTGACTAACCCATTCCTTCGATCATTACCTAAATTCAACTATTGTTATAAACAGTTGTAAGCAGAAAAATCTTCTTCACCGTTTGACACATTTTTTTGGAGATCCAGGAGATCGGCTACGGGATCTATGGGATCCAAAGTATTTCAGAATTAATCGTACGTCAAATTATGTAAATTTACATAGTTTCTATTTACTTACTAAATAAAATACTTTATAAAAAAATTCTATGCAGCGATCTGAAATCGGATTAAGATAATATGACTGAGAACTAATAACTTAATCTTGCTAATCTTTTTCCAAAAAAAGTTCAATATTATTTAGAGAAATAAGAACTAAACTACAGACATCAATCGAAACGAATCAAAAGAGCAATCTGTGGATTTTGGAGAATATTGTTTGTGAGAAAAGATATACTAATTTAGTAAATCTGATAACTTGATTTACTTATGTACATCAAAATCAGATTTTTCGATTTATCAGTTATTACATATTTTAAAATAAAACAAAAATGCCTCTTTTTTTAAATTGTGAACTCTTGTTATTCTCTAACTCAATTGCAAAACTTGAATGCATTTTTATGCATTGAAAACTGGGCAGAAAATAAGAATGGTTCGTTCTTTTTCTGAAAATGTATTGCCTCATAAAAAAATTCATAGGAGGTGGCTATAGTACCGATAGTCGACATATAAATTATTTAATGAACATTTTAGAGAACCAAATACTTGAAAGTTTAGCGTTAAGAGAGCATATTTACTTATTGCTCAAAGCATTATTTTAGAATACTCGGTTTGAAGGTGGTACTGTGAAGAGGTTAGAACACACTATCAGAATTGACTACAAGCCACAAAATAGTGCTTTTCATTGGATCTATATAAATTAACAACCAAATTTAGTCTATGACTTAGCCTTTCATCAGGAAAGAATTCTTGTAAATTTAATTTTTTGCTGAGAAATAAAATTGAAACAGGAAAAGTTAGAACTGCGTGAAGCATAGCTGAATCTAATTAAACTAAAAGAGTTAAAGAAAAAATATTTTAAAACTAATAAAAAGTATCATTTTATCGCTTTGTGAAGCTTTTTCAATGCAAACTAAAAAGCCCAATCGCCAACTATAGCCATTCGAATACTTTACACAGTCAATCCAACTGTAACATACGAATATTTGTGTACTCCAACCAGATAATATACGAGTAACTTTTATTACTCACTACTCAAATACTATAAAATGCCATTATCTTAAGTTTCCAAGCTAAATCGAGTCAACAACTGACAAGTAGCGCAAATTTATAATTCAGATAAATTGTAATACTACATAAAAGTTTGCAACGAAACTATGTTAGACAGCATTAAGACCTATTATGATAGGTATACTTGCACTGCTAATCTTATCAATTTCATCAATAACTCTGAACTGTACGATAAGTTGATCGATTAAATAGCAACAGGTGTGGTATTCCTCTGTGTACGAGCAACTGAGAGATGCATGTAGGAATTTACATGTAATCATTAGAAGAACTCTTTGGCCACACTTTTACCATTTTTTAATAAAGAATTCAATTTTTTCAATACATTCATCATTTTTTGCCTTTAGCCTGTTAAGTTAACTAAGAAGTACCATATCATGATGAAAATTATCACTTTTTATAATAACATTCACGGTTCGGAAAAACAATTAACATTATTAATTTTCTTTGATTTCTGATAAAAAAAAAGCAAGTTTTGAAGATAAAGAAATATTAATTAATTGTAATAAATATTGAAAAAAAGGTTATGTTATACTAGGTATAATGCAAAAGTGTTCAAGATAATTGTTTATAATTCCAAATTATAAAGGATTACATATTTAAGAATAATATGCAATTTTAATGCTCAAGAATTAAGGGGATTTTTGATAATTTTCAACTTCAAATGCCTGATTACTTATAATTTGTCAACATGGAACCCATTTGTTATTGTGCATATAGCGAAAATTATGTAAAAAATAAAATGCTTATGTAAAGCAAATATGAAAATAATTCATATAAACTAAATATGTAGAAGCAATGTAGTGAAGTGTTAGTGTGAAATAAATGCATGATATAAAAGAAAAGTTAACTATAAATCGAGAAATTGCAAGATATAATTCGTCAAATTTTCAACTTAAAATGCAAATATCTCGAAAACTATAATTTTCGGCGACTATAATTATATATTCTTGATCTGGAGAATCTCCTCTATCCAACCATACCCCTTTTAACCCTAAATCGTGGGATGGTATATTAAAGTTTCCCCAAAATGCTTACCGTTTAAAAGTTGTGTGATATTATTGAACTAAAATTGTTTACAAAAATCGTAAATCTCATTCGTATAGTTCTAGTGCTGTTGGAAATGAAGAAATTAGTTTCACAAAATTGTATTTTATTACTTTCAATTGCACATTGTTTTACTGCCAACACACAGCTTATTGCATACTATATTCATATAATATTTATATACATATATATATATACATATACAAATATTGTTTTTATGTACATACATACACATGTATGTATAGTAAAACACTTGCAACAACAGGTTGTTAAATACGCCAATGCTCTTTTTATTGCTAAATACAAATCAAAATTTCAAATTTGCACTATAATATTTGCTTTGTTACTGTTATTTGTTTTTGTTTTTTTTTTTTTGGTTAATTAATTTTACTACCGGCAATCTATGACGACGGCACTAAGAATACGTTGTTGGTGCGAGCGCTTTGTTGTCAAAAGAATTTGGCGAATGAGTTGACAGTCACGAATGCAGCTCGCCCTGTGACTGAATGTATGTGTAAAAATATTTCAAAGTTGGCACTAAGTTTGGTTTTTATATTTAGTATAAGCGTTTAATATTAGCGGCAGTGAATTGCTTTGGCAAACACACAAGCACACACACACTCCCACGCGCACATGCAAGTGCTAAGATTTGGTTGCACTCGTGTACATAAATATGTGCGTAAGTATGTACATATGTACGTATTAATGACGACTGCTCAATTCGGCTGCAGCAATAGTTTTCACGTTCACGTTCTTTCAGGTTCAAGTTCAGGAAGGTCAACGCAGCATTTCTTTGTATGTATACATATACATACATATGTATGTATACACAGCTATTTTCACTTTATCAATCACTGAGAATTTTCATTCAGCAAGCCCAAGGGCTGCTACTCACTAACTCGCCAAATTGGAAGGAAAATCTCATTACGCAAACATTCTGCCACCGCACACATGCACATCTTTATCACACTTGAGACAGTTCTTTGCTTATTTTCGGTTATTTACATATTAAAATATTTACTAATTTTAGTGCCACGCGCTAAGTTGTGTGTCATAAGCTGGCTTATGATATAAACACTGTTAATCGGCACTTCGTTGATATGAAATTTTTCCACTCTTACATAGGAATACTCGTATATGTATGAATATATATTTTTTTGTCTCATAATCACTTTAATACCTCTCGTTTGTGTCAAATATTACGCGTCACTTAGACCCAACGGCTACTTTGGCTTATTACCGTTCCCCACATTAAACGGTTCTTAACCATTAACGGTAATTTGTTAAACTTTTTCGTTTGTGCTTTACTGTTTGAGCTGATTGTGACCGTATCGGTGGAATTCTGCTGGCGAACTGTGAATTGGCCGTTTCGTATTCTTACATTTTGCCCTGACTTGTTAACAGCGCGACACGAATTTGTGAGAATTTCTCAATGAAACAAGAGAGTTGCAAACGGATGTGGCTAGCCGGACGCTATTGCATCGTGCAAACAAATTTTATTATATATTCTATTATATATGTATATTTGTTTGATATACATATGTATGTATATATGTAGATGTCTCGTAGACCAAACGAATTCACAATCGTGCCGCCGCTCAGCAGACTTTCAAAGAGCATTTATCACAGCGCTTCGCTTTTATTGTTTACACTCATCGAAAGCTTTCGCTGTCCAACTACGAATTGACACATACATATGTATGTATGTATGTATAATATTTATGAATACACTTAAGAATGAAATATAGTTTATTATTTTAAATTTGAATTGAAAAATTAAAAATACATTGCTAATCCCAAATACGGGATTGAAAATTTAAAAAGTTTAAAACCAAGTTTATCAATAAAATAAAAAAAAAAATTCTTTTCGCGCTTGCGTATTTTAAGTTCTACCATTTTGAACTAGAACTCGCACAGAGCCCTCATATTCAAAACTATAGAGCAAACTTACACATTCATACGATTTATACAAGTATTTTATCAATTTTTAATTTTGATTGATTGGATGAGGTTTAAAATTAAATTTTGATTTTCAATCACAATATTTTGGATCAAAAACTAAATTTGAAACTAAAAACTGAAAATCTCATTTGTAATCCAAAATTTTTAAATTGAAACATTACTTTTTGGTTGTAGGTAAAATAAATAGGGAAGATCTAAGTTCGAAACATTTCATACCCACGCAATATGCCGGCTAAATACCTTCAGGTGTTGGCAAAATTTTATATTCAAAAATGTAGCGAAAATGTTCAACTTCATTATTCGACGCAATGATAAATTGATTACAATTAAATTTGGTTTCATATTAACTTATTTTGAAGGGCATAGACTCAGTTAGTATTAGTATTCTATTTTACTTCCCGTCAGCGAAAATTATACTAAAAACATTGGGGGCATAGAAATTGAAATGCTGATTGCATTAATTTTTGAGATTGCTCAGTTATAAATATATATAATATATAAATATAATCATAAATATCATATATATGGAATAAAGTTAGCTGGACGATTCAAAATCCTGAATTTTAGCCGAATTTAATCCATTTTAGGCACACAGATACAAAACACACTCTCAGAATTTCGTTAAAATAACTAGCACATTCGCTGATATATGTGGTATAAAGTCACCCAGAAGATCAAAAATTTTTATATAAGGTATTTGGGCGCTAAGAGAATTATTGACCGATTCAACTCTTTTTTGACATACAAACATACTATTATCAGAGATGGATCCTCTCTGAATTTCAATTATATATCTCACACATTGACCGATATTTTCTGTAAAAAGGCAACTATATGTACTAGGGTCCACATATTCGGTACCATGGGGCTTGAAGCGTTTTGGTTCAATTTAGACAATTTTTATTCATAAGGTGACACACTTCAATCGCACTATTCGTGCAAAGTTTTATCCCGATAAATTCATGTTTGATTGATATGCATACTAGAAAGTAAGAGAATAAGATGGAATTCAAAATTGTGTTATATGGGAACTAGGCGTGGTAATCCGATTCATAAGAAGATTTCACACTGTAACATAAGAATGTCAAATACATACCGAATTTGGTTGAAATCAGTCGATTAAATGCCGAGAGCTTAATTCTACCATCCTATTTGTAAAATTCATATACATATTAGTTATATGGAGGCTAAGGGAAGTATTGATCCGATTCAACCCATTTTTTAATCAAAAGTATATTATTATCAAAGAAACATTTTCCCGAATTTCAACCGAACCGATATTTTGAACATAAAGTCAGCCATACCCACTGGAGTACACATATTTGGCATCTGGGTTCTTGAAAAGTTACGGTCCGATTCCGACAGCGTTTGAGTGTAAGATGAAATACCTTGCAAAGATTTATCCAGATACATTGATTAGTTCTGGATTTATATACTGGAAAGTGAAAGATTCAGATGGATTTTAAAATTATGAAACAAGGGAAGTAGGGTGGCTTTTGTTTGATTTCGCCCATTTTAACGCTATAATGTAAGAATGTCAGGATTATATTACATACCGAATTTGGTTGAAATCGGTTGAGGAGGTCCCGAGATATGGATTTTCACCTAAATATAGGCGGTGCCACATCCACTATCCAAATTTGACACCGGCTCCAAAAAATCCCACTTGTACGATCTCGTTATTCTTGATACCAAATTTCAGTTTTATATCTTTATTTAGTATTAGTTTATGAGGTAGGAATAACTTAGAACGCATGTAAATGACGGATTAATTTTAAATAGTTCTAAGATTAATTTCTCCATATAAGTCGAGCTTATACAATATTATTAAACCATTATGGTTGATTTCGGATTTAATTGGGTTTGATATTCTGCCATTTACTTTTTAATTTTTGTATTTATCATAAAAGCTCTAAGTTTAACGACACATTTCCTTAATAAGCAAAAACCGAAGCTCTGAATCTGCCGAAAGCTAAATCAAAATTGTACATGAATTTAGGATATTGTCAAAATTAACGGAGGTTTTGAGCTTTTCGAGAGGAAATGTTTTTAGCAATAATAAAATAGTTGAAAAGTTCATAATCTATCACTTTATAAATATAGAATCAAACATTGTTTTAACAGAAAATGTGTACACCGATCCAATGTGATAGAATAAATGTTAAATATTTTAAGAATTTTTTTAATTAACCAAATCACTGCTACATGAACCCATTAATTGAACCAAAAAATTACCAATTTCAAATGAAAATTACAAACGAAAAAAGGAAAGGGTTATAAAATGGTACTGCTGTTTTTATTACTCCTCATTTGTCAATATATATATATTTTTTTTATGAAATACCGGATGTGAAGTGTGTGTGTGTGTGTGACGTGTGGTTTTCAATGAGGGAATATTTTTTCGGAGTTGGTCTGTTATTTTATTTATACTCAGTTTGGTTTGCATTGTATAATGAACAGACTTGCTCTGGAACCACGCTTTCAAATCGTGCAAATTTACTACCAAAATAATAGATCGGTTTCGTACCACGTTTATTGCGCTTTTTCAACTCTAGGCAGCACTTTACGCACAATCGACTAACTTCTGGCAATATTTGACGAAACACGAAAATATGTAAGTACATACACCTAATTCTGTTTTGCACGGTCTTAGTCACATCAATAATGAATTGTTTGAATATTTATGTCTTTCGTATCGCTGTCATTATCAAAACAAAATGTAGAAACAAATTTGCCTTACCATCAACACATGTGGAGCATGGATTTAAACTAAAGTCTTTATTCGATGTTTGTGCTAATGAATTGTTTGTTTGCCTTCTCTATGGAAAGTTTATTCGAATTTGATTAATTCCGGCGCTCTCACATACATTTTGGCACATTTTCTGGACTAAATTTGATACAATTGAAAATTACCAAATACCATATCTGGTGCGCACCGAAGACGCATTGCTGCTGTGGAGCAGAGTATCGATGAAGACCGAAAAGAGGAAAGATCTTGATTTGCGCGCTTACGAAATCCAACTCGTGCAAGAATTGAACACGAACGACTATCAAGCGCCTCGCACATTCGGTGAATGTGCCCAAATCGAGATGGCCAGCGATACTGATTTTCACAAGATACTTGTTTTTTTTTATAATAAAGCTAAATTCTTGGCCATAGCCTTATATTATATTGGTTTTATTTCTTCTTTCAAAGTCACTAATGGTTTAAAATGCAACTGTTAATAGAAATTGTGAACATTATGTGAAATACGTTAAATGTTTGGCTAAGCAAAGAAAAAAACTTCAACTAAATACAATATTTTAACCCTGGTGTACGAATACAACATTGAGTATGGAGAGAGCGAAAATTCATTTGAGCGTATTTTCAGTAGCTTCGTAAATTGACGCATGCGCAGCAGCAGCATTTCTTGCCGGTAAAAAATAAACAAAACAAGATGTTCTCGGACTTGTTGCACACACATTTCAATATATATGTACATAAGTATGAGTAAATACTAGTATATAGTTGTTCACGTCTTTAATTGCCATCATCTCTTTTCTTAGCTCTTAAAAATTAACCATATGGTTGCTGTCTTATATCAATATATTTATTAACTTCGGGTAAATAAATTACAATAAATTAAATTTCAACAACATTTCTTCTAACCGATCTTTTTCAAACATTTTATTGTGTATTCTTCAAACATGGTTAAATGTACCTTTAAAAATGAAAAAAAAAAATTGACAGAGTAGTTTTTTTTTAATTCCCAAAAATCGCCTTTTTAAGGAAGTCACACTATTCTTAACTTTATTACAATATCTCGCAGTTATACCAATATAAACGGCATGAACCTAATCGGAAGGTCGAAATTCACTATGTTACGGTACTGCGGAAGTTTAAGCCGACTTCACCGCGTCTTACTGTTGGAAAAAGCGGTTAAAGGCAAACCACGCAGTTTACAGACCCCAAAAACAAACCAAAATGCAAGAAATTATATTGAGCTTTACTAAATACTAATTCTAGAAACAATTTATTTACATCCAAATTATTAAAATTAAAATCCTAGCTTTTTGTTTCAGTTTTCGATTTTATCCCGAACATGCGACGCACCAGATACTCCAATAGCCAGAAGAGCAATGAAAGCGAGGATAGTAAATTAAGGAAATGAATTGTCATTGTATAACTGGTGGCATCGGTGATGACACCTAAAAATATTAAGTTTAATATAACAAACAAAACTAGTTACCGAAAAATTATACTCACCTAAAATTGGCCCAAAAGCAAGTGTGAATAAAGTATTGAAGACTAATTGTAGTCCAGATGCAGCTGGCAAGCGATTCAAAGGCACATATGATGGTATAATAAGAGACGCAAATATCGTACGAAAACCTCTACCGAAACCGATGAGCACAAAGAGTGCCAATGTAACACGATAGGAGTCGGTTAATGTAATCAACAGGCGTCCGATAGAGATGGTAATAATGCCAAATGCAAATAATACTTGATTACTCAACTTTTTAGCCCTTTCCAGCACAATTGGTAGTAGGAAGCGCACGCAGATATCCATGCCACCCTGCATGGACATAGCGGTAGAGATTTGTTCGTTACTGTAACCGTATTGATCCAAAATGAAGGGTAATAAAATGGCGAAGTTCATCTCGGCAAACATCATCACTGTCATGCCCATAACTAAATTGACAAAAGTGAAATCTGTCAATAGATCCAAGTCAAAGAATTTCACTAACTTTTGTTTGAAAGTCAATTTGTCCGTGTGGTCGTCTAACTTCGGGTCTAATAGTTCGATCTTCTCTAGGTTTGTTATCAATAGTATTGGTGCATTTTTTAGTTTGCCACTGTTGTGGTCTTCTAACAATGCTCTCTCTTCTGCGCAGGTGCAATGGAATTCTTCTGGGAAGGTATCTTTAGGGGCATGATTTGCACAACTATTTTCTTTCACTTCATAATCTTCAACGCTTTCAGCATTATCCTTTTCCGCCTCAGCAATTGGTGCTTTTTGAGTTGAATTCTTTTCAAACTTAGTATATGGCAAGTTTACTGTTTCCCCAAAATATTTTAGCGAAGACTTCGAACCAAACTCATCGTTGGCGCGTGACATTAATGGCGTTTCGGGTTCACTGAGCTTACGGCTTGGTTTAGCCAAGTCATGGTCGTCAAAATCAAATTGTGTTGCGACCACACTGGAGCTGGTACGTTTCATATATTGACAATACTTGCATTCAGGCTCTATTACAAGTTGAGTTGTACATTTTTTATATTCCGACTCGACTTGAAGCTGTATTGTGGCTAAGGTATCAATAATACTATCTTCTAAAGCAGGTTCTTGTAACTTCGATTCACTTTTGACCGGCGCTTTGGAAGTATGCCATAATACTGGTTGTAGAGTTAAAGCACAGAGGAAGACATTTAGGGAAATTCCAGCATAAATTAGAATTGTACCCGGACTGCCATAGTAGATAAGTATTAGAGAGGTGAAGTGTGGAAATATAATGGGTCCTAAGCCAGTGATGGTCCACATAAGCCCGAATGCCCGACGTCGCCGATTTTTGAAGTATGTATTCACGGCCAACGATAAGGCGCTCACATTGAGACCCTGTCCGATGCCTATTTCAAGGTTACGAAAGCAAATAAAGTAATTAATAGCGAAAAATTGGTCGTAAGTACTCACCATATATGACCGATAAACAAAGCACATACTGCCAAAAAGTGGCACATGCTGCTGATAATAAAATACCACTAAATATCAAAATGCTGCCGACGATGGCAACCTGCCGAAATGTAAAGCGTCGAAACATGGCACCATTTACAATGCCTAGGAAGCATAAGAAATAATAAGAAATTTAATAGGTTATGGTATACTATATTAGATTGCGGTAGTATTTTAAATTTACCAACTAAGGACGCTAAACTCAACATGATATTCGCAATTGTGGTGGTCTCTTTGGCAGAGAATCCCAAATTAAACATGCGCTGTCGATAAATCATACCGTATTGTTGTAGTGGTGGATACATGGTCAGCTGGAGAGAAAAACTTTGATAAAATTTTAGGTAAACAGATACCGAGAATATCAATTACAATGATTTACATTACTAAAGCCAGCAGCTATGCAAACGACCCAACCCCAGCCGCCATCGGGCGCCACAAAATCGGGACCCAAATCACTTTTGTCACGTCGCTTGGATTTCTTTGGCATTGTGGATGATTATCGCTCTATGTAAGGTGTAACTAAATTCCTGGAACTAAACAAAATATATTTTGCATGCAAACAAACTTTGAGAACTTTAGGGAAATCTCATCTTCGCTATACAAGCTTTGTGTTCAGAATTTTTCATGATTACACTGATAAAGCGTGAATAATGTATTTTAGATATTTGATTGAGAGAGAGATAAAATAAACCCGGATGGTAAAACTTGGTAGAATATTTAATTTTAGGTATTCCTTTTTCGAATGATACTAATGTCAAAATTGCAATCGTATAAAAAATTTTTGGATTTAGTACAAAAATTATAAAATTTTTAAATAAAAAAGGTTGCAGTCTTTACTAAAAAGTATTATTCAAAAATTATAAAGTAATTTCTGTAAATCTTAAATTACAGCAATGTTTTTAAAACAGTTTCTTGAGTAAACAAATATTAATAATTAGAAATTATTTGAAATTGTAATAAAATTGTTTGCAATGTGATTATAAAACTAATAATTAAAGGGTTATATCCACTTGTCAATTTCGACAATCGATTATTTTTGTATATATTCGGTATTTTTTGACGAATGTTTATATATGAGAATATTCTCCGCAAACTTAAAGTTGATCCGGCAAATAGTTTCGGAGATATGAGCGTATTTGTAAGAATTTTTTAACTGAAGCGGTTTTTAGAAATAGCATCAAGCTATTTCATCATCATACTCGTTTGGGTGCCTGGAAGAATCGCTGGCAACTGCGAGCGAACCCGAGGGGGCATTCTTGTCCCGCTCACATTGGAATGTGACTTCGCGGGGCCTTAACAGGCCCTGGGCGACAACCCGCTCCTGTGATATTGTCATATCCATTTGGCTTAGAGTAGGAGATCTTCTAAACAACTTGCGCTTAGCAAAGTTCATCTTGCCACAATAGTAGAGGTTCTTACTTTACATTGTCCAATCAAAAATCTAGATAGACGCAAGTTGTTAAAATTGTATGGAGGAGGGTGAGGTGGAAACATCCAGTTACTTTCTTCTCCATTGTCTAGCCTTTGCAAGACTAAGGTATAGTCAGAGTCGGTGATAGCCGAAACTGGTGTTGTGTAGATTTGTGAGGATCTTATCATATATTATCAACGAACCGACGTTCTAAGTTGTCCAAGTGAGATCCCTGTTAGAATCGACTTAATCGTTAACAGGAAAATTGCTTCGAAACGGCTGGAGTTATCTACTTGAAATTTTCACACGATCCTTTTAGATATATTTATGAAGTATTGATCGAAGAAATAAGATTTTGACAATAATGCCGGTTTTTTTAAATCTGAAGTTGAATTTGTTCTTCACAAAAAACGTTTTTTTTTTGTAAGCTGTCATTTTGCTAAAATCAATATTTTGACTAGTCTTTCGATCATTACCTGGATTCATCTATTGCTATAACAATCGTTTTTTTGGTTTTTGAATTTGAGATAATTTTAAACAGAACAATCCTTCTGGAGATAGGCTGCGAGAACAAGGGAATCCAAAATTTTTAAAAGTTAATCACCGTTTATAAAAGTACATCCAAATTCAAGTTCTGTAAATGCACATTAAGTGTTTATTTAATAAACAAAATCCTCCTTAAAAAAAAAAAGTTCCAAAAACCGCCGTTTTTTATGATTTGCAAGTGTAAATCAAAAACTTTAAAATTTATCAACATTACATATTGTAAACATCTTCCGACATGCAAATTTACGAAAATATAAATACTTATACATGAGGTTAAAAATGAAACAGCTAATATTTAAGTAGTAGAAAAATATGTTAAACTACGATTAAGAATGATAAACTTTCAATATTGAACAGAATTCACCAGATACCAACTAGCTTTACAATCAGTTTAATTTAAGCCATTAATTTGACTACATTATGTTACCGATATAATTTAATTAACTTTTTATTAATGCACGTGCAGTTGCCACATGTTTAAAATACAACTTTTTTATTTGACATTGGGACGTTGCTAAAGTAAATGAATATGTCTTCTCAAAAATATTTTATATTATTTTATAAATAATTAAACATCTTTATCTACTCTTATCATGTCATTAGCTGTATGCGCTACATATCTACGAGCTTAGATAATTTGCTTTTCGATTACATGCTATGCTTTGTTATCAGCGCTGAAAACTTCGAAACCACATATGTATATGCATTTATGTGTGTATGTATTTAAATATATAACTGTTAATTATAAATGTGAAATTATTGAGATTACATTGCAGTACCTTTGAAATACTTAAGATTACAATGTATATTTTTCTGAGTTAATTTTTTTTTGTGAGTATAAATACTATTTGATTTTCATTACGAAGTAGCGAGATTTACCTTTTTTGTGAGTATGTAAAAAACAATAAATTGGTAATTGTCTATTAGTATTTTTGGTACTATAATTATTATCATTATAACCATTACGCTGTTACTCAGCAAATTAATTTTAATCTGTTGAAATTTTCTCTTTCACAACATGACTACATCCTTTCCATGGTGAAATTCAAAACAGTTGAAGCCAATATGAACTCACCAGACGGTAAACTGTGATGTCCTGGGTTTGGTCTTAAATTGTAGGAGGGAGGAGGAAAATATATGTTTATCACACATGGAATAAAGGAATAAAAGTATTTGAAATTGTAAGCAAAGTAATTGAAATGTTATAATGTCAAAATGTACACCTCTGTCATTATCGACATCACTTGCATATGACTCCACCATTGTATTTCCCACATGCACTTACGTCTGTTTATGTGACGTGGTAGATTTTTATTTAGTAAAAATATAAAAATTATTAACCGAATTTTTTTTATAAATTTCTGTAAAGTATGTAAAATAATATATGTATGCACAAAGTAAGAGAGGAAAACTAAAAGAGAATGCGTTTAATGCAAGCAACGATCAGAGCACAACTGGCAATAGATAAATCATCTATAAGGTAAATTAGCTAATTCGAAAATATTGAACAGCTTTTAAACTATTCAACAAATATTTCGTAAAATTTCAAAAATTGATTTGTATTTTAATACTTGCTATAGCCAAATGTCTTTGAAAATTGCGATATAATACTATAGGCAGAATTGTTGACTATAGGAAGAAAAGTTGAGAAAGAGTGAGAAAGAGGAAGCAACGTTACTTTTTTATAGTTATTAAAAATGTCAAAAAAAAACTAATATGTAAATAATTAGTTTTAATAATTTTATAAAAAAATTGTATTTGAATTAAAAAATTTAAATAATATTAAAGCTTATTATTAAATTATAAAACATTTCAGATACATACTAAATAATGCATTCTCTGTTTGCTTTCATTTACTTTGTTGTTAAAAAATTAAGAGTATCTAATAAACTAAAAAGCTTCTTTTGGAAAATGACGTAATATTGTGTTACAAAGTGTAGTGTGAGAAAATATATGATTTTAAATTCATGCTCTTATTAGAGTTGCCAGATTTCGAATTACTTTACCCCCTTTTATTAATAATTGCAAGAGTTTCACAATCAGAAGCTTCCTAGGGAGATAAAAAGGTGTGCAAAATATCAGATCGCATAAAAAAATTACGTGAGAATTTTTGATTGAAAATTAAGGGTTTTTCGATACTGTGTCAAAAAAAGGTGTGCAAATTAATATTAAACATTAAAAAAACGGTGTATTTGGAACATAAGAAGGTAAGTTTACACCAAATTTCATAGGAGAAAAATATATTTTGTATAAGATAAAAATAAAAACCCAAAAACTGGGTTTTTTGAACTTTTCACATAAATTTTGAGGTTATGTGAAAAGGTTGTTAATGCAGAAGAAGTAGATCCTTTCATTACCTACAATTTCGCCACATAAGTTTTTCTATAGGATTCGCTGATTTGCCGGAAATCGAGATAAACCGTTTTTATACTCTCGCAACATGTTGCTACATAGTATAATAGTTTTGTTCACCTAACGGTGGTTTGTATCACCTAAAACTAATCGAGTTAGATATAGGGTTATGTATATATAAATGATCAGTATGAAGAGACGAGTTGAAATGCGGGTGACTGTCCGTCCGTCCGTCCGTCTGTGTACGCTGTAACTTGAGTAAAAATTGAGATATCTTTATGAAACTCTGTACACATGTTTCTCGGTACCGTTAGACGGTTGGTATTGCAGATGGGCGTAATGGGACCACTGCTACGCCCATAAACGCCATTAATCAAGACCAAATAAATTGCCATAACTAAGCTCCACAATAAGACACAAGACTGTTATTTAGTATACAGAATCACATAATAGAGGGGCATCTGTAGTTTAATTTTTTTTAAAAAGGGGGTGTGGTCCCGCTCCCTAATGGGTGTAATGTGCATATCTGTTAAACCGCTGAAGCTACCTACTAAAAACGCGATAAATCAAGAACTAAATATGCCAGAAACATTAAATTTTATCTCTGGGATGGTATGAGATGACTTTATATGAACTCGGATTACAACCACGCCTATTTACCATATAACACCATTTTAAATTCCATCTGATTCTTTCACTTTCCACTATACAAATCAAGCAACAATGATTGTATCGGGGTAAAACTGCGTGAATTGGGTGAATAATGCGTTTAAAGTATGCCACCTTGTGGCCAAAAATTGTCTAAATCGAACCAAAACTTCAAGCCCTTAGGTAGTGAATATGATGACCCCAGTGTCTTTAGTTTACTTTTTACCGAAAATATCGGTCAATGTGTAAGATGTATAATTAAAATTCATATAATAAAATAAATAAATGAAACTCTCGATAATAGTATGTTTTTGTGTCAAAAATGGGTTGAATCGGATCAATACTTCTTTAAATATAAAGTTTGCCAACACCTGAAGTAGTTTCCCGGGCTTTGAGCCTTGCAAGTTGCGGGTTACACCCGAACTTAGAACTTCCTTACTTGTTGATTTTATTTGATTTCAAAAATTATCTACTCTGTTCTAATACTTTATAAAATATTATTAGAAATTTTTTTCAACTTTCATTTTGCAAAAAAATTATGTTCACACAAATAATGAATAAATATACCCGAAAAGCTCTGTTAAAAATAAAATCAGTCTTCCTGCCTATTAATTTAACAACTTCGTAAAAATGTGTCAGAAATAAATGAAAACATAACGGTTTTTTGTCACAGTCTGGCATCGCCAGAAAAATCGAAATGAGAGCGCAATCACCGGTCACGTTTGTGCATATAGCTCTTCAAGAGTAAAAATGTAAATAATTGTATCAAAAATAAGTAAGAACGTGTCAATTTCGATTGAGTCCGAAATGTAAGAATGAAATGCGTAGAAATATTCCCATGAGTTGGCAAAAACTTAAAAAAAAAATGTATATGCGTTAACAAATGTTGAAATGAAATTGTGAATCAATTACAATCAAGCAAAGGGACGAGAATACCGATGTCGGTACATGGGGTTATTCTATGTTCCTATGCACTTAACTCTAATCATTTGCCAATACTCACACGTTAAAAGCACCGCACCGCTTGCCAAACGCAATACTACTGAGGCTCCAGCTTGCACTTTGCAGCCGTAAGGCGAGAACATTGCATTTATGCAGTCGCTTGCACTATGTTTACACTGCTTGAGAACATACAAGTATGTACATGTGTACAAAAACATATGTGTTATGACAGTTCAGTAAAGCTTCCGGGCGGGGTTGCCATGTGAGTGTTTTACCAAACCATTTCGCTACATTAGTTGTATTTTTGTTTGCGTTGAGATTTTTTTCTTTTTACATTGATATGTAAATATATAATGGCCATTGTTTCGGCGAAGGTAAGCGGTAAAGTGAAATAATTAGCAAAAAACAAAAAGATCATCATGTAGTCATCATATATTATATAAAGTCTCTTGTCTCTCTCTTTTCGGATATTACAACTACAATCATTTAATTATATTACTTGATAAAAGTATGTATTAATCGATTTGCAACAAGAGCACCATGATGACTCACACCCAATTGTTGAATATTATCGATGATTTAAATGATGAAATTTGCACGCACTGTTGGGAAAGCCTGAAATGATGGTAATGGTAATACGGTTTGAAGTTCTTAGAGCAAGAAAGTTATTGCAATATTATATAATTCGGTAAAGCTGATTTTGTGACTAAAGAAAGAACCTATCTTTGCGAATATGCTCACAACAATGATTTTATATGGTTTAAGATAGTATTGAAAGATTAAGGGCACACCTAGTGGGACAGCTTAAAAAAGGCGATTTTTGGAAGTTAAAAATAAAAAAACTACGGTATCAATTGTTTTAAAATAATGTATATTTACACATATTTTAAGAATACCCAGTAAAATTTTTTAAGAAAATAATTTAATGTTTTTGGAACTACACGCGATCTCTGACAACGCTAAAAAAGGGTTTCCACTGACCGGCCTACTCGGTGAATAAATCTTCTGACAAACATGCTCTAGCAGATATTGTCCGTATAATGACCCATGTTTGAAAAAAGAAAAAAAGAAATGACTAAAATGGCGACATTTTGAAAAAAGTTGAATTTTAAATTTTGGCCGCTTTTGGCCAGCCAAAATTCAATTTTTGATCAGTTTAAAAAACTGTTAGGTCATTGTATTAAGATCTATATATAGAATATGCAGAAAAAATTTGATAGTGATCGGATATTTGCCTGATTTGCCTGTAAGTAATCACTTCATTAAATTCGAAAAATTATGTGTCGGGAAGACTACACATTAGAAGTCTGTATCAAAATATATTTGAAATATTCATTTATAATTTTAGTATTGCATTTTTAAATATATAGACTATCGAATTAAAAAATTTTTGATGTGAAAGTTTCTTGAAAAGTACAAAAATTTCTGAAAAAGCGAGAACTGTGATATTACGCAGGCAGTGACTCTTATTATGACACAAAAGAATCATAGCTGAATGTTAAAAATGCGACTTCGTAATATTAAAATGTCACAAAATATTCATATACATATGTACATGCTTAGTATTTTTATTATGATCGACCAATTAACCATATTTACACCACTCGTCTCTTTAAAAAGTTAGCACATATGCTTTAAGCCTCAAAATTATCAATAGAAATGATAACAGACACTCTCAAAATTCCTTTTTTCTCAAACCAAATTTTTTTGAGAAATTGAGTGCTAAGTAAAAAAGTATTTTCTTCGTTTTTCGACGTTAGCCTCCAAAATGTAAATGTTTTCCTTCGAATTTCGAAACTAATCACATTTATTAAATATAGTATGAAAGGTAATAAAAAAAAAACTATTAAACTCTGTAGCAACATGTTTTTATATTTTCAAAAATCCGATTTTGACCTCTTAAAGCATTTGCCATATAGATAAGATTTTACTTTTTATTAACTTATACACAGTAAGTATTATTAATGTTTTCCACAAGCTGAATTTCGAAATTCGTAGGCAAATATTGGATTATGGAGGCTAACTTCGAAAAAAAGAGAAACTACTCTAATACAAAGAACAATTAATATTTGCCAGATAGTGTAATTATATGAAATTATAATTTTTGAGCAGACCAAATAAACCAAGATGGGGATTAACCTAGTGAATTTCCAAAACATTCTTTTACGGGCGGGCAAGAAGAAAAACCCACAAAAAGAGTTCGGATGGCCGTAAAATTAAGTTGATCGAGATAGCTTACACTACACCGATGTATTATAATAAGCGAGTTAGACTTAACTTTCATGAATATATGGGTATGCTCTACAGAAGCTTACAATTCACCAAAATTTTCTGAATTGGACTTCGGATGGAGTTCGCTTTAACTGTGTTATACTTGAACTAGTCCCTTAGTTTTGAGATATTAATCTGAAATTTTGCACATGTCCTTTTCTACCCAAAAATCTGCTCGATTTTCGAAATCGTCAATATAGGACCAGTATAGCATATAGCTGCCGTACAAACTGATCGAACCAAATCTAATTAAGCGCAGATGGGAATATTAAAATAGCACCCTACCCTCGAAAAATGCCAGCGAAAAGGAGTAATAAAACATTAGATTTAAATTGTAGAAAAATAATTTATTTTCGTTTCGTCTATGTATAAATACATACTTATTAATATACATACATGAACTTAAATTTAAAAATAACTTTTATTGATTACAATATTTCTAAATGCATTTACTTATAACTAGTGTTTAAAAGCTAAGCATACTAAGTAATAAAATCTTAATTGACTGAACTGAACTTATGAAAGTGTAGAAATGCAAGTAGCGGAACTTTCACTAAATATTATAATGTATTTTTTTTGAATATGTATATTATTGAAAGTAGTAGAATGTGTGTGCACACTACAAAAATATTTATGAAAACAATTTCCGCATATAAAGCAGATGTGGGTTACAAGTACATACACCAAAAACTAACCTAAACTCACACACGCATAAAATCACCTGCTTAAGTATATACACTTAACTGAACGTGGTACTTAAAGCATACAAACTTACTGGGCGTTGATTCAAGATATTTCCAAAAGCAAATGCACAAAAAAATAAATCAATCACATCTGCAAAGATCAGTGAAATTTTAACACCACAACCTTTCAACCTTCCATTGTAGTTTTGCGCTTCTTGCCGAGCATGCGCCGCACAATCGACTCCAAGATCCAAAGCAATAAAGCAAGAACGGTTAGCAAATTGAGTACGTGTATGGTGGTTGTGTAACTGGTCGCATCCGTAATTGTGCCTGGAAAGAGATATATCAAATATATTTATTGAATAAGATGTGCTGTGGAACAATATATTAACATTTTTCGTTGCTGGGAAATCTTTAACCATACTTTATATACTCGTATATAAGACTTACAGACCTATTAACTTAAGATTTCATAACCCACAACTTTTCACTATTCTAGGAATGAAATTATACTCTATCCAAATTGAAATATTTAAACAAAAAAAATTGAAAGCCTCAAAAATCACATGAAAATGTGACAAAAGTTCTGCTAGTCTATATTAAAATCTTCCTTAAAACCAAATCGTATCAAAACGTGTTCAAAAATCCCTTATGTCTCACAGAAATTTTGGAAGAAGACAACTTGTATTATACCATAAACTACTTGTAGAACGACAACTGATCTTTGGAAGGCTTTTGCCAAATGGGAAGTTAAGCCTCTTTAGACAATCGGTAATGATATTTTAAATACTAATAACTCTACATTGTCAACATATGAATAAAATTTCGAAGCATGGATTGTAATATTAGGATTTCAAAAGTTTTCGAAATAAAGGTGTTACAAAAATATTATAGGTCTTCACTCTTTAGCATTATTAAAACAAAAGATGATGGCACCCAAACGGTTTAACTAAGGGAAACCCGAAAATTTGTGTGCTTCGGACGTCTTTATATTTGTAGCATGTAGTTCAAATCGAAGACAATCAGAAAAGTCATTTTGTTCTAGTTGGTATAATAGTGACCAAATTAAACAGTGTGTGAAAAATAAATGGTATAGCACAGAATTTATGAAACGCGATCTTGCACGGATATAACCTTACTCTCACACTGGCTTTTAAGCAATTCAAACCTTTATTATTATATCCATTTATGAATTTCAAAAAATAAGATTTTTTTTATCGAATGTGTATACTTTTGAGAATATTCTTCGAAAATTTAAAGTTGATCCGGCAAATAGAAATTTAGTGTAATTGGCTCCCAAAACATTAAACACATTTGGCTCGAAACCAGGTTTGCAGAGTCGGTAAAAAAAATTCTCCGAAACGGCTGGACTGATGCACTTGAAACTTTCGCACGATTTTTTTAAATATGTCTTTCAGGTAATGATCGAAGAAATACAATTTTTAATAACAATTTTTTGAGCCATTCTGAAGTGAAATTTTTGTACAAAGAAAAAATGTACACAAAAAATGACGAAATTTATAATTTTAACCAGACCTACGACCATTACCTGTATTCATCTATTGTTATAATATTTTTTTTGGTTTCGGATTTATGATAGTTTTAAGCAAAAACCCCGCCAGAAACGTTTGTTTTTGAGGTAGACATAAAGATTGACCACGAGAACAAGGAAATCAAAAATGTTTCAAAATGAATCACCGATTCATTCTATAAATTTACATTATTTTTATTTATTTACTATATAAAATGTAATTTTAAATACATATAAGGTTCTTCTTTAAGTAGGCTTAGAATATTGTTTTTGGTCATCGGAGTTGTCGGAAATTAGAACTGGTTATAAACTTCGTATATGAATAAAAAATTGCAGAGAAAAATTAGACCTAATTAAGAGAGCATAAGCACAAGTGTCTCACTACGAAAGAATCCGACATACCGTAGCGCAACTTCAACACAGTGAGTTAAAAATAATTAAATAGAAAATAGGTATACACTTACCAAGTATAGGGCCTGCGGCCAAAGAGAATAGGGTATTGAAAACCAGTTGCAACCCAGACGCAGCCGGCAAACGCTTCAATGGCACATATGAGGGAATGATGAGCGGCGAGAAGATAGTGCGGAAAGCTTTGCCAAAGCCGATGAGTATGAAAAATATCAATACAACATAATACGAGCTTGACAATGCGACAAACAATCGACCAAAGGCGATGGCAATAATGCCGAAAGCAAACAATACGCGATTATCTAGTTTGACCTTTTCCAGTGCGAATGGAGCTAAGAAGCGCACACAAATATCCATGCCGCCCAGTGTGGACATGGCCAACGAGATCTGTTCGTTATTGAAACCGTATTCATTTAAAATAAAGGGTGTCAGTACGGAGAAATTCATTTCGGCAAACATCATAATGGTCATGCCCATAACCAAATTGACAAAAGTGAAATCGCGCAGTAAATCCAAGTCGAAAAATATCACCACTTTTTGCAGAAAATTCATTTTACTTTTTGCCAACTCCTTTGCCTCCTCTTCCGCTTTGAGACGTTCTTGCTCACGTTTCAATTCCTCGTCGGAAATCTTTTGCATGAGCGCCTTCTCCTCAGCGCAAGTACAGTGAAACTCCTCCGATTTCGAATAAACACTAGTCTTGCTCGTGTAACGTTCATAATCTTCGTGCATACGATTAAAGTAATTCGGTTTATTCAAGTGCGATTCGTCGGCGTGTTCCGGATCAGTCGCATGCGCTTTGATCGAAGCTTGTCGCATTACTTTATGGCGCAGACGTGTTGGATTCATTTCCGCTGCAAGCGATAACTTCGAGCCGAACCAACCGTCATTGGCGCGCGCCATCATCGGTGTACCGGGTTCGGTAATTTCATAACCGGGTGTCTCCAAATCATCCTCATTGAAGAGATATTGCGAAGCGAAGATGCTACGTTTTGGTTGTCGCTTATATTGACAATATTTGCATTTATATTCACCCTCTTCGCTTTCGGGTGCCAACGGTTTTTTAGCGTCATTTGTAGTTTCCTCTACGGCGGCTTTCGGTTTCTTCGTATGCCACAAAACAGGCTGCAATGTCAATGCACAAACGAAGGCATTCATCGTGACCGCGGCGAATATCAATATTGTACCCTGTGCGCCATAGAGCACTAGTAAAATAGTGGAAATATGTGGAAAAATTATGGGACCCAAGCCGGTGATGGTCCAAGTAAAGCCGGTAGCACGCCGGCGACGATTCTTAAAGTATGTATTCACCGCTAACGCTGTGGCGGCCATGCTGAGGCCTAAGCCGCAACCTTTGATTGGAGAAAATTGTAAAAACAAAATAAGTAACTTACGTTCGTATGTATGTATTGAAGTTAATAGGGTTCCATTACTCACCATAAAGCATCGACAGACACAATATATATTGCCAAAATGTTGTGGCCCAAGCAGTTAATAAAATACCCATAAACGCCAATATATTCCCGGTAATGGCCACTTGCCGAAATGTGAAGCGACGAAAGGTGGCGCCATTGACAATACCTTAAATGTTGGAGCAGTTAAGAATTTGAGGTTATGTAATTGATTTCTCCACTTACCCACTACGGATGACAGACTCATTACAACATTGATAATTGTTGTTGTTTCTTTTGCTGTGAAACCCAAATCAGCCATGCGCTGCCTATAGATCAAACCAAATTGTTGTAGGGGCGGGAAAAGTGAGAACTACAAGTAGTATGCGGCGCGCAATAAAAGTTTTATTATTAATAATTTGAGTATTCATTTAAATTCATAAATTTTTGCTGCTTACGTTACTGAGACCGGCTGCTATGCAAACTACCCAACCCCAGCCGCCATCGGGCGCCACGAAATTCGGACCCAAATCGCTTTTGTCGCGTCGTTTGGGCTTCTTCGGCGCTGTGGTCGCATTGTAAACCGTTATGTTGTTCTTCTCAGCGAGTGTAACTTTTTCGATAGCCATATTTGTATGTGCTTGTGTGCCTTAATTTTAAATGATTCGCTGTTTTTTTTATCGTTTTAACCTCTTTTTAATTACGCCAATCACGTCAGCGAGCGGAAGTCTGCAACAATATGTCAAATTAGTATAAATACATACTGACAGTGGTAAGAATATTTCGTTCGTTGTCTTCTTAATTACTCAGTAATTACCTATACACAACAGTTAATAGAGTTGCGGTATTTTCATACACAAATTTATTAAACAGGTGACTTGCTTGTGGTGAACGTGACATACATATGTACACCCTTCGAATATAGAACTATATTAATTTATTTACATGTTCTTGGTTTCGTTCGACCGTAAAAAATAAATCTCCAAATACAAAACCGTAAGCGTAACCGAAGTTCTTACATTTATTTTTAGTATGTGCCGAAACTCCCAATTTGTTTTCCAAGTTTTTATAAAACTAGTAAACCAAGAAGATTCCATTTAACTTACAGAAAAATTTAATGAAAGGAAGAAAAACGACGATAGGAAACAAATTAAATAGAAGCAGTAATGCATTGGGTAATCTATTGTATTTAACGTTTAAATCACACTTCCAATATGATCCCACTTTTATTTACATTTCTTTGTAGAATCGTTCTAAGTCGTTAGCAATTGCCTTTACAGCAAAAAATAGAACAATATAATTTTTAAGGTGGACTTTGAGTGCAAACGAAGCGTTCTACAAATCTATTGAAAACGTTACTTACTACGGTCCTACCTCTAACATTTTTTTAGATTATCCCTTGTAATAATAAATGACTGGAGTACATTTATCAATCTTGTGAATATGGTATATATGTAAATACATATCTTGTACCGCCTTTAGAAAAAAATCACCAAATAATATCATTAGGAAACTGGGGACTTTAAAACAGTTCGAACATAATTTACAAACTATAAATTTACTATATAATTTAAGAATAACAATTTCGCTTTTTGCATCAGATTGTAACTGGTGATGTGAAATGAATCCATTACGACAACCCCAAACGCAAAAAACCATATGTAAAATCTAGCCAACCAAACAAATCAACAGCAAACCCGAATATCAAATACGCCAAGGTATATGGTGAGATCAGAATGGCGTGCTCTTTATGATGAACTTCTAAAACCGGGTGAAACCAATAATCGGAACGGCTACCGACAACAATGGATCAAATTGAAGCGAGCGATTGACGAAAAATGCCCGGAATTTGTGAGTAAACATGAGGCACTAATTTTCCATCACAACAACCCTTGACCTCATGTTGCAAGACCGCTTTAAAACTATTTGGAAAACTGCGGCTGGCAATTTTTGTCGCACTATAGCCTAAAATTTCTGACTACCATTTGTTCGGCTCGATGCAGAATGTCTTCACTGGCATATGGTTCACATCAAGTCAGGGTATCAAAACTGGATCTGATTCATTCTTGCCCGCCAATAAAATCCACAAATTGTTAGAAAGATAGGAAAATGTAAAACTTCAGATGGGCAATGCTTTGAATACTACTTTTAAACATGTTTTTTTACATGAACGTTAGAATTTTCAAAAAAATAATCGGCATAAATAAAGTATACTGTATAATGGTAAATAGCTCTCAGATTTATTCAACCCTCAGCGTATTTTTTATATAATTTCTCTTTGTTTAATAATAATAACAAGTACCCAATTTGTTGTGAAATAACTTCATACAACCAATACATACGTACATTAGTATATACAATAAATAAATAAATTTACTTATGTATAAGTATGTATGTGCAATCGAACGACAAAAGTTGGTTATCACTTCGTTGTCAGTTGACGGAAAGTAAACAAAGCACTATTGATACACATATAAATTTTATTTTTTAAATATACTTAAAAGCTTGTGCTAAGTATTTAAATTTAATTATACTTTAACTAAGATTAACGCTCGGCATGCTACCGGGGGGGGTTTTTAAAAATTGTAAGAATGCGAGATACGCTTCGAGATGGTCGCATTGGCATATGCAAATTATGAACACACATACAAAGCCGTATATAAACAAGCATATATGTATGCATGTACGTATCTGTGCATGTGCATGTGAGTGTACTTATTTTCGCCAGTCGAGTAACTATTTGCACATTTCGGCTCATTTTTGCTTTTGTTGTTAATGACTGCCGGAAAATAAAAAATAAATTCATAAATAAATAAGCGAATAAATGAAATCGGCATCGCTGTCTGGCTCTTTGGCCAGCCGCGGATGAGCGAGTGCGGCAAGTGGCGAGCGTTAAAAGGAGTTGCAAGCAAATGCACACACATATATTTACATACTGACAACGTCTGCGGAATGCGTGCTTGGGCACCTATTTTTAAACTTTATATAAATAATAGTCAGTCAGTCAGTGAGTTGAAAGGCGCAAAACACTACGTGTCACGTCGCGTACAACAAAAAATTGACAATGAATCAGCGAAAATAAAGATACAAATAGAGAATACTTATCTTCTATTATCGACTGTGTGTATTAGGGTAAGCCATAAACTAACCTATCGAATGGCTTAAAATTAATCTAAAACAGAGAAAAAATATTCCTGCAAGAAAAAAATGTCTGGCTCAATTTTAAAAGGTGTCGTTGAGCATACAAAATTTCGCAGACAAAAAACACTTAAAAAATTATGTTTTCATTAAAAAATAGCACAACTTTTGAACCGTTAAGGATACAAAATTTTATTGTGGATTCCTGTAGAGCATAAAATATCCAAAAAAAAAACTTACTCAGGGAGATTTTATTCTACTAAAAAATTTGGTATATTGAAAACCTTTGAAAAATGAAAAAAGGTTAATGCTGCGAAAAGAGACGAGAAAACAATTAAATTAACGAAAACACAACATGATACGATTTGTTCAAAAGATATCAGTGATTTTATCACAAAAATATTGTTAGCAGTTTTTGAGCTGCTGGAGTTATCGCCAGACTTTTTAAATAATATTAGCTAGAATATTGAGCAAACAAGGAAGAATAGAAATATAAAAATTTATTTTTGACATATATGAATTATAAACTTTTTGTATTATAAGTTTATTGTATTATTTAACATTTTTAATTATATTTTGATTTTTGTTCAATTTTAAAAGCTTTTATAGACGAACTTATAAATAAAAATAAATCATCATAAGATAATTTGGCAAAGTCTATACTCGATTGCATAGTTTTGGCTCACCCTAGTGTGTATGTATGCGTGTACATATTGCATTTGTATGTTTTTGGTGTTGTGTAAGCGTTGTTATTGTTCTTTTTTTTAATTTCTATTATTATTATTTTTTTGTTTTTGAAGGGCAACGTTTTTGTTCGACTATTGGTGGAGAATCGCTGGAGTAAGGGAGCTCCCTTGTTCGTTTATTATTTGAATGTATGTGTGTGTGTGTGTATGTTTTCCAGTACTTATACAAACTATACGTGACATAAATTTATTTTGCTGTGTTCGGTGTAGTTTCTATTACAAAAACAGCAACAACAAAACAATAGTAAACAATTCATAACAAGTTGAGTACATATAATGTTTGTACGACTACATGTTAAATTATCGCTACAGATACACTGCAATTAAAGGTGTCCACATACATAGAGACATATGCATGGACATGTACTATGTATTTTATGTAATTTTAATCGACGGAAGACGCGGCAATGACAAATAGTACTGCAGTGTGAACAAAAGCACTCTTTCAATTGGAAGAAAGCAAAAAAAAAAACATAAGAAAAAACTTTAATTTCGGCAGCACCGAAGCTATAACACCCTTTACAAATACAAAATATTACATACAAACACTAGATTGGGATCATTCAATTTGTATGGCAGCTGTATGCAATAGTGGGAAAAACTGAACACTTTCCACCGAGCATGTACCATTGTCTGAGGCAATAACTCGAGCCAAATTTCGATAAGATATCTCGTCACATACAGAAGTTTTGCATATAACGACTAGATTTGGATCGTTAAGTTTGTATGACTGCTTTATGCTACAGTAGTCCGATACCCGCGGTTCCGACAGAAGAAACAGACATGAGTAAAATTTCAGAACGGTATCTCAAAAACACAGGTACTAGTTCAAATATATATAGACAGACGGACAGACGGGCATGGCTAAATCGACTCAGCTCGTCGTGTTGATAATTTATATATACACATAGGGTATCCGACGTTTCATTCTTGGCGTTACAAACTTCGCGGCAAACTGAGCTCCCTGTTCAGGATATAATAAAAGTAAAAAATAATTAAACAAAAAATATTCAAAACAAAATACACAAAATAGAAATAAAAAAAAATTATTAAAGGAAAAAAATTAATAAATCCAACACAGCTGGTGCGAACGCACGCTTCAAGCGCACTACTTAGAACCACATGCAGAGCGGTGGACACCACACCATGCACCGCACCAACTGCTGCAATCATTTTGATCGGTGACAAGATTCATCGATTGTTTGATATTTAAGGAGTGCCACAAATGCCTACAGAATTTATATATATATGTGTGTGTGTGTGTTTGTAAGCATATTCATAAAGCTATAAATATGCAAATATGCACGTACATGCTTATACATATGTGTGTGTATGTGCAACAGTTTGTCGTTTAGTTGAAAATTCCAGCGTGGAAATTATGAATCAAGTGTGGCAAGGGGGAAGGGGGGAGATTCGAAAATGACATAAAATTATGCGCTGACACTCGTGCGATCGTCACAATATGGTGTATCCCCTTACAATCGATGATATCGATCGCAGCAGAAGGAAGTAGAGGCAAAGACAGTCAACAAACACACATACATGCACATGCAGGTATGTATAGGAATCTATAGCCGTTGCGTGGGTTGTCACTCCATTTATTTATTTATTATTATTTTTTGTACCGACATACTGACACGCGTTCAATGCAAACACTAGACTGATGAATGATTTGGCGTGGAAATTGAATGAAAAGCAGAGGAGGTGCATGCCGGCGGTTCTGTGAGTGTTGCCAACACCTTAAAAATCGGCGATAATAAAAATAGATTGATCGTTAATAGCCATAAACGGTTGACTATGCCTATGCATCTGTATGCATACAAATATAAATACACGTCCATATAACGTTTGGTAAATGACAATGGCAAGACGCACCCACGAAAGGCGTTTACGACCTAATGGAGTATAAAATAATAGTTCGGACATACTAATTGCTGTAATAAAATCACGTAGAAGCTATAAATAAAACTGTTTGCGTGAAGTTTTATCTGTCTTGGCGAGCCGCAGTTGAAGTCTATATAAATATGTACACATGAAATAGTGATAAGAGTTTTTATTGTGCTTACTTCCTGATATTTAATTATAAACTGTTTTCATAATTTTGATTAAATTTTTGATTAAGTAAGTAATCTATTAATTTAAGATGACATTCTGATATGACGTTCAGATATCTATCGATAATTTTTGTGGCTAATCGATCACGGACCCCATCGCGAATTCAGAGCAATCATACGATATAACACAGGCACCGATCGCTATGTTCTGAGTGTAAGGTCTGTTTTTAATATATTGTGGTCAAGAATATACCATAATAAGAATGGCAGCATACAGTCAATGAAGTCGACATTTCGCTCTAACTCCTGCTATCTGTTTAAGAGGGGAGCACCCGAAGAGGATCAAAACATCGATTTTTTTTTGTCTTAAAAGATAGGTACATGCTCTAAGAAAATTGTAGCAAAAGTTCTTATATCGATCTTAACACTAGAACTACGAACCGTTCAAATTTACCGGTTGCATCATTTATTTATACCATTTCCTTTTTATTCCTATTTAATATTTTTTGATAATGTCATGATTTTTATTGAATTAGTGCATTGAATAATATTAAAGATTATTTTGTTTTTACGCTTCTAATTTTCAGAGAGAGAGACCTATTTGAAATAGGTATATGGTAAATCTTCGTAGTTCTAGTGTTAAAAATTGTTTGAAATGTGGAAGGTAAGTCGAACCGGCCGACCTTAACCGGAAACTTTAAACGACGTTTTCTCGAAACCATGTTTTTCAAATTGATGTAAGAGGATTAAAAACTACCCTAGTTGGACTACGGACTTAAAAAAAAAACAATTTGTAAACCATTTTTAACGCGAAAATAATCGAAATCGATTCAGCCAAAAACAGGAAAAGTTGTTATTAAAATTAATTTCGTTTTCGGCTTCTATGAAACAAAGTGTCTTCAGTGAAAGCAAGTGCAGCAGAGCTTGGAGCCTTTGGTGTTTCGGATATACCACCAAAATGGATCCCAAGCATCAAGAAACTGTAAGTATGGAACTTTCTATAATAATATGGTGCCACAAACTCGACTTATAAGTTATGTATGTATATTTTACTACTTTGTGGGATCGCTACAATATTTAACTTGCTCGCTAATTTTTCATTTATGTTTATTTTTTGTTCTTAACATCTAGGTCTCATCCGGCCAATCCTCACGCAGGCGCATTAACCTAATGCCAGCATGCTAAACTATTTTATTAATTTCTTGACGATGTGTGGCAGCATTTTGCTGAGCTTGACTGAGCACGTTGTCACATATACCTATTATATATTTAAGTAGAGCCTATCATTAATTTTAGAATTTATTTACACACTTAATTGCACCATCAAGGACATCCATTATCACGGTGCTAACGAGACCCTCTTGGACACTGACCAGACAGCTTAAGCAGTGACTGGGAGTTTAATTTTAACTACATATGTATGTATATGTACATATAGATTAGGGTGGGCATAAAAAAATTTTTTTTTCTCCTTAGAAATATATATCATCTGAAATGACGAAAAATATATAAAATAATTTAATAATTATCTTTTACAATTTAAAGTTGGACTTTAACCTGGAATAATTTTTAAACAAATCGACTTAGCAAAACATTAATCAGACCTTTTGTGGAGATGGTTAAGTTCCCTCCATGAATAACTTTTTATTTTCAATAATCAATAATACCTTCAAATGCATTAAACATCCAAACAAAATAGGAAAATTATGCTGTGCTACTTGTTTGGGATATCAGAAATCAGATTGCGCTACCGGTTTAAAATAACCTTACGATAGATTTTGTTCGTCATTTCGGAGGTTATTTTTACTGTCTAAAAAACAAAATAAGTTTCGTTTTGGCCCACCCTAATATATACATATGTATATATATATGTAGATTGGCAATTTCCTACTAAAATACAATAACGAATAACCAGTTATTATATGCAAATATAATTATTTGACGTGTTTAATGACGCAACACGAGTTCCACGTACCTATTAATTACCTAAGTACGAATATATACATATGTTATGTATGTGCAAGAATATACTTGGAAGCTGCATAAGCCTATATCTATGCACTATATAACTTGACTTAAATGTTTTTCGCCGTAAAATTCCGCATTTTCTTGCAAAAGTGCGAAAGTTAAGAAGCCGTTAACACTGTCGCGAGCAGAGGAGACCGCAATATATTTTTTTAACGCGGACGCGTGTAAAAAATTACTAACTCAAATATTTATTTAGCAAGGGAAAAATACATACATATGTATATTCAGTGTGAGCAAACAAAGAGCAGCATTTGCCCCACAGCGTTCCGCCTGCCGAACTCAGCACAACTAATAGCGAATACTCTAAAGATAATACTGGATTGTGTGGCTATTCGTAGGCGCATGTAGAAAAAACTCGTTTCGCAGTCAGTCGATGGGACGGCAGCACCCAAAGTGCAACGGCAACAACAATGCAGCAACCGCTTGGTGGCCGCTGCCAACCCAGTTTGCGCTGCATTTAGTTATCGCCTGGCCGTGCGCTCGTTTAATGCGAATTGTGGCGATTCGTTGGCAGGATTTTAGCCATGCGTGTGCTTTGTATGCATTTTGCGTGAGCGTCAGCCAATCTCCGGTCATATTTGTTGCCGTGAATGCATGACTACTAACATACATGCAAACACATGCTTCTTCATTCGGCTGTCGTAGTTGCTGGTGTTGCAGGTGGTGAAGTGTGACGTTGCGACGGCGGCGGCGCGACAGACAATGTCGCAAGCAGCCCAGCAAGCGGTCTCGTGTGTCGCGTATTCGTGCGCAGTAAAATCAAATCAAATGCAAATAAAATGCAACAACATGCCAGCTTGTGAATAGAGCGGCGGCAACAAGAATAATAATGCCACAATGCAACCGTGCAGTTCAGAGCAGCAACAAGTCAAGTCGGCTGCCAGTGTGCCATTGTGTTCGTGTGTGCATTAAAAATTTGCACTTCAGCGACACAAAGCGTGCCAAGCAGGCGTGAATGCGCTTTGACAGTGTGAAAAAGCTATCTTATATGTGGATATAAGATTAGATGCGGTAAATTCTACATCTTAGATGTTGACAATCCAGTTGTACTACAGTTTTAATTGCATAAGGGCAAAAGCTTTGAAAATCTAAAAGCTAATCGGAACTAATTTGCTAGTGCAAAAAAATGGTTGAGACAGATTACTTAGTATATTTACTATACTCCTAGAACAAACTTTGTAAAAGTTCAAAATTTCAGTTCAAATTAGATTGAGAAAAAGAAATCTCTCAGAAGAATCATCTTGGATTAATTTCTTTGTCGGCGCGACTTCCCCAAAAACTTTTTTTACACAATAAAAGTTCCTTCCTTTCAGGTTTTGAAAAGCTTTTAATAAAAAGCAAAAAATTAGAAAAGCTATTTGGATTATCGTAGGTGCGACTTCCTTAAACGTTTGTAAAAAACACAGTAAAAGCTCTGTTTGAAAGTAGGAGCTTTTTATAAAAAAATGTATCCCACAGATAAGTAAACCAGCTTTTAGTAAAATTTAAACATTACAGAAGAGGCACCTTCACTACATGTGCGACTTCCCTAGAAGCATATTATAAGCAATGTAAAAACTCCGTTTCAGGATGAAAAAAGCTTTAAGTATGAAATAAATTAAAATAATAAAATAATTTCAGAAGAGTTTTGGTTTTTTGATTCAACCTTGTCGTAAACTTAATAGAAGCTTCGTTTCTGGGTGAAAAATGCTTTTATTAAAAAATAAAAATCTCAGAAGAACTTTTTTGGATAAATGTCGAATTTCCACTTCAGGGTGGAAAAAGTTTTTAATAAATATTTGGTCTCAGAAGAGTTTTTTGGACTAATTTCACTAAAGATGCGGCTTCCCTATAAGTTTGTTGTAAACGTTGCAAAAACTCCGTTTTAGAGTGAAGGAAGCTCTAAATAAAAAAAAAAGAAGCCTGAGAAAGAAAGGAAAAAAAGCTCTTAATGAAAAATAAATCTCAGAAGATTTTTCGTGGATTAATTTCGATTTTCCATTTACGGTAGGGAAAAGCTTTTTTTTATGTCGAAGAGCTTTAATCCACACCGAGAGAAAAATTTAGAAATATCACATCGATAATTATAGTTTACTCGCCAAAAACTCAGGTCAATATTCCACAAAATAATTTTTTGTGCAAAATTAAAAGTGAAACAAAATATATATATATTTTTTCTCCAAATATATTGAATTTAAAAAATACCCACTTTGGTGCACTAACAGCCCACTGTGCGCTAAGTCATTCCACACAGCTAATGAAGTGCACTTTAAGGCTTTTGTAATTTTGTTAAGAATTTGCGACTTGAGTGACTACAAGTTTGTAAAAATGCAACAAAAAACCAAACCAAATTGCAGACAATTTTGAACAAAGCGCGAAAAATATGTGTGCGTAAGAGTACCTACATATATGTATGTATGTAAGGCTGAATATAAAACCGCTTATCTGCACGAATTTATGTGGATATTTGATGACCAAACGAACGTGCCTCCAATGGCGTCCCAACGCCGCAGCAGCGCCAGTTCCACCACAAATCTTTGCTGATAATGCGAGGCAGAACACGCACACACACACACGCAAACAAGCTGGCTGGCAATGCGCATGCTTCATTGTTGTGAGTAAATATGCTTAGTAGAGGCGTGCGCGTGTAATTAACTACTTTGATGGATCATTTGAATGACTTCTGGCCATCGTTTAAATATGTATGTATGTGCGTGTATGTGTACTTTATACATTGTAACAAAAACGCGGCAAATAATGCGGCAATCGACAATTAGCGCTCCAACCACGGCAATTGTCCGTATGGCAACTGTTCACCGGCTTGAATGACTTAATGCGGTGTTGAAGCTTGATCGTCGCCGCTGGAATTCGAGTGATTCAAAGTTCGTGTTTGGCGCGAGTTCGAGCTAATTACAGCCACACACCGGTCCGGCGGCATTAGTGATTCCTGCTCAGCACTAAATTGAGAGCCGCGCTTTGCTTTGCGTGTGTGTGTGTGTGTAGAAAGTGACTATTTTAGTAACTGGTAGAACCGAATTTTTGCAAGTCATGACAGTCAAGCATTTATTTTATTTTTATTGTGTTTTTTTTTTTAACCAAAACGAGGTATGTATGTATATACATACGAATGCATTTATATAAGCAGGTCTTATCAATTAAGTGTGCTAGAAACATATAACAGCCTATTGTAACTTAATTAATACAAATTATAGCAGAGCTAATGAAGTTATATAGTCATTTGCATGCATTGTGCACACTTAAATAAATATACACAAGTGCTTATACGCCTTTTCCCCGATAACAGTCAATTGAAACCGTCAGCAGAAAGTTTATTTTTATATTTTTCGCAATTATAACTACATATATTTAGAGCCAAATATTTGACTATCTAACTGCATTATACAAGTTACATTTAAAAAAAAACAAATTTCTCTAATGTAGAAAAACTAGTTGAGGAAATTTTGTAGTTATACAAATATAATATTTAGATATGTATATAGGGGGAATGTTGTGACCTTCAACTTTTTTTTATGTAATTATATAAATGGAAAGAAGATAAATAGCTACAAACCACTATACAGTCGAATTTTTGCTCAGTCAGCTTCAGCATGCAAGTAAGTAGTAAACTGCGTACGATTTTTTGTTTTCGGTCAAAGATTTAAATTTTTTTGTACAATCCCGCCATTTGGCCGAAAGTTGATGTAAAGCTAGAAATATATGTACCTTACTAACAAGCCATATATAGATTAAGATACCGTTTTTTATTTGTTTGAGATAGCACGTGTTCCGAGAATCACCGTCGACCATCGAGGGCCTCTGGAGCCACTAGCCACTACTCTGTTTAAAAATGTCAATATAAATATTGTAGTTTTTTAAAATAAATAATAAATTAAAAGGAAAAATACGATTTCTTTTCCTTAATATTGTCCCAACTCTTTAAACTCTCCTAACTTAATCCTTAAGCTCTCCTATACCTTAAAGCGTTGCTTTATAGGAAAACGTTCTTATCTATAGTATACACTTTAAACAAGCCTGAAATATATATATACAATATTTACACAACGAAGTTTCAAAATAACAATAGCTCAATACAATCTAATATCTCAGAAAGAGAACATCGCCCTTAAATCAAACCTGAAAATACGTGAGAAATATTGTTTGCCAAAAGGGGTTTTTTTACAGTTCTATATTAAGAATCTCGTTAACAGTATACTTGGTTATACTTCCTAAAGCAATATTTTTTCCTAATTAAAAATGGTATTGTTTCTACAACTTATAGTAATTTGAAAAATCGGATAAGACCTTAAAGAGAGTGAAGATTGTAGACTGAATTACAACTCTTTGCCAAGTTCGGTAACGTACTTGGATATTTTATTTTTACAACCATATGTTTTTTATCGGAACTAGTTTACTGTTATCTATTACCAAGCAGAAAACATATATGAAGGGAAATAAAATCAAGTAAGAAAAGGCTAAAATCGCGTGTAACCGAAGATTTTATACCATTGCAAGGTAAAGTCATATATGAGATTTTCG